CGCAGTGCATCTGCAGGCACAAAGGGCAGAGACATTATATGCAAAGCTCAAGATAAGACTGAAAAGGTAGAGCTAATTAAAAGTAACGAAAGCTGTGCAGGAAACAGGAAGCTACTGATGAACCTCTTGAAAGATTATAGTAACACAACTTCAAAATAATAATATATAATAATATAATATCATACTACAATGGTATTAATTGTTATTTCTTATGCATTTTATATTTCTGTGTCAACAAAGCTGCAGGAAATGTGTTATGTGTATGATTCAGCAGGGCTGCATGAAACATGTCAACGGTTTACATGGAGATTAGCATATGTTTTTATGTGATTTCTAACATTAATATAGCGTTTTTTAAATATTCATATAGCAATGTATTATATTTGTCTATCCTATATTCATTCCTTGGAAACTCAAAGACTTTCTGGGCATTTGCTGTTTCTGCCACATTCTCACACTGCTAATTTTTGCAATATCTGCAATATAACGTCCTGCACCTCTATGGAAACATAATGGTTGGAAGTAAAGAGGTCTTAGAAATGTCCTCTGTGGAGTGTGATACAGTTATAGGGCCTCTATTATAAACGTAAAATAATTAAATATAAAGTATAATAAATAAAAATAAAAACCCCTGGTGTTACCAAATGGAGAAAAAAGACTGCTTTAAATACTGTAGATATTTTGCCACTTACATTTTTAATTTGTCCCCATATTTGTCTCTAATCTGCTCTACACAAGCACAGCCTGCAGTTCAGGGGGACAGTCTCTGCATTTTTGGTTCGTTACTGAATTTTTACGTGGAACATGTAGCTTAAAATGACTTTAATGAAACTGCACGATTTTAAGCTCAGATTCGGTTTTTATTTGTTGTGGATGGAGCGGCACGTCACTGATGACTAGTTCAAGCTGTAAATCCTACAATACTTCTTGTTTTCAAAACTTGTGGCCCTGATAAAAGATGTTATTTGGTGATTTTTTTAAAGAATAATAGGCTTTTGAAATTCCCCAGCAGGTTTAGAGGTTGATTAAACTTTGCCTTATTGTGTTGTTTTAGTGTTGTGTCGATTTGAGTGTATACTAAAACTAATACAACCTTCTTTAGCATTGTCTGTAACCACTAATACATTTTATAACGTTAGCAGGCTATATGTTTTGGTTTATCATATCATAATGAAATATATCCTGAGCACCAATATTTATCCCAATATATAACCCGCCTACATCAGGATCACCACATCTAGCTCGGTGGTGGGGACCAGCATAAATAGGACATTCTGTTAAGATCAGTACATTGCCTGTCTTACCAGCACCACGAAGCTAGATGCCAGACTGTCTCCCATAAGGCACAAGTATATTTTACCCTGACATACTCCGAACCTAGTTTGTCCGGTCCCACCTGTCAGGTGCATTGCCTCTGCGGTGTTGTTATCTCAGGTTTTCACATAATACTCCAGTGTTCGGGTCATTAGTGACAATGTGAGACCAAGACTGCAGTGTCATAGTTGCAGGGAGCTCCAGGACTTTAAAATAAGTGTAAGTCTAAGTGTGTGTGTGTGTGTGTGCATGTGTGCGCGAAACAAGCAGAGAGAGCATAAGCCTCTGGGTATTGGTTTGGACTAAAGCCAAGCTTACAGGAAATGCCAACAAAGCACCAAGAGATGTTCAAACAACATGCACACACAAACAGATCCTTGCTCACACACACAAAAACAGACAAACACACGTGCACACAGATGTACAGACTCCAGTAAATAAACAGCCACCCAATCTTTGCTCCAGTGTGATCAAACCAGGGGAAATATTAAAAATCAGTTCTCAGCAGAAGCTGTGTGTGTCACTGGGTGGCTCTCTGTTGAATAGTGTAACAGCAGCACTGTTAGCATCTGATCTTGTGAAAATCTAATCGAAAGAAGACAGAATAGCAGAAAATCATACAGGGAAATGGATTAGGCATGTTGCTGGGTGACCAGGGAACGCCTTCTGGCAAGTGTTTAAATGACATCAAGCAGTCATAATAGAGGAACAAAAGGGGGAACATTTCACTTTTTTCTTCCACTGATCTGAGGTGATTTATGTTACAACTGGCTCACACTTCTGTGATTTATCTAACAAGAACAGTTAGTGGACCTTAGAATCCCAAGAGCAGATGAAAACATCCCATATTATCAGAATTTGCACATTTTAAATGTTGTCTTGAGGTCCACAGGCCTTTTAACTGGTGTCATTTTAAGGACCCCAAAATGTAAAATTGCCAGGTGAAACGGCATTAAAGTTTATTTACTGTAAAATTCAAACACACAGCAGAAAAGCACTGCAGCACCATTACAAGCCCTGTCCAAAACTATTAAAGTTAATGAAGCCTTCTATTAACAGCTCAAAAAGAGAATAAAATCAAATGTCCATCAGATTTGAAATACGTGGATGTTTATAGAGGTGTGAATACAGGGTGCTGCTATCTTACCGAGTATAAAAGATGCCTGGTATGAAACTACATGAAGTAACACACTGCACACTCTGCAGTACGTAAAGCAAAATTACTTTAGTGTACTGAAAAGTAATTTGTCACACGTGTACTCTACTTTAACAGTCAGACAATGAGCAAAAATATATTTTTGTTTAAAGAGTAGTATACAAAGTCAGTTTATTGCCAAGATTTAGAAAGAACATTGATGCCACTTTTATCCCTGTTATAACATGAAGCTACAGCCAGAAGCTAGTTAGCTTAGCTTAGGACAAAACCTAAAAAATAGTAGAACACAACCAAGCTCTGTCCAAAGTTAACAGAACCAAATCTACCAGCATTAAACAAACTCCATTTAGTGCTTTGAATAGTGTTTGTGGTGCCAGTTATCTTAACAGACTAACTTGTTTCTCATCTTCATGCCAAGCGAAGGTAGCTGGCTGCTAGCTGAAACTTTATAGGCTAGTTAGCAAGCAGGCATGTGAGTGGTGTCAGTCCTATAATGTACCTCTTGTTTAAAAAAAAAAGTCAAATTTTCAAAATCTTCTTTTAACCCTTTCAACACCAAATTGCTCTTGCAGGTTTAAATGTTACGTTTGTACTTTTAAAAAGCTGCCAAAATGCCATCATTTATCACAACCAAAAAGAAGAAGAAGCTGGTCCTTGAACTGCTCATGCAGTTCAAGGACCAGCTTCTTCTTCTTTTTCATCTGAAAATTAACCTAATCGAAGCTTAAAATCAGGATCTTTCAACAATATCACTTTGTTGTACAAGTTTCATATAAAAAGTAAAAAAAAAAAAAAAAGATAGAAAGCATTTGTGAAAGATTCTGTTTCAATCAATCAATCAATCAATCAATCAATCAATCAATCAATCAATCAATCAATCAATCAATCAATCAATCAAACTCCCCAACTGTGAAGCCTCTAAGCTGCTATAGCTGCGCCAAACAATAACATGACAAAAATTCAGAGACTTTTCAGGTGAACTGCAAACTGTGTTTACACAGAGCAGAGAGATGTTGCCATTTTTTTTTTTCCAGTATTGGTAACACCTGCGGGCAGTGGCAAAAATATCTATTTAAAATTTTTCTACAATAAATTATCAAAGAAATTCTGTTTTCTTTTTTTTCTTTTTTTCCCCTTTTTTTAAATATAGATTATAACTGTCATTTAGTACAGAAGACATTTTTGAGTTCTCTTTACTTCAGTAATTTCCCAGGCCTGGGATAAATAAAATATTTTTCTATTCTATTCTATTCTATTCTATTCTATTCTATTCTATTCTATTCTAGCCGGGTAACCTCTATCTGGTGCTGGTTCCATAGGTTTCTGACTTTATATTGCAATAAAATGAGCGAACGTTGTGTAAAATGGAACATGAGCAAATACCATCCAGAAAGTGAGTTCAGAGGGTTAAGTGGTGTTTCTACATACAGGAGGAGGCTTCAGAGCCTTTTTCATGTATTCATAGTCAGTACACCTACTTGATGTTATAACATTATGGCATCAAAACTAACAAGTTCAAGTATAATATTACCAAAGTGGCTGGTATTTTCTCACAAATGCATCTGTACTCTGTGCCATATGGTGCACAAATAACTTTGCAGAAGGGCTGAATGCAAAAATTCTGACAGCGCGAATCCCAACCAACCAGAAACCATTGTGGGCCAGCTTCCAGCCACTCATCGGTCAAGTTTTTCAAATGTGGCTTGAAAAGACATCTGGAGCGCTGCGTGCGCTTTAAAGCTTCGCTGGAGTGCATCTGTCAAAACTGAGGAGTGTGAAGAATGAGCATCAATAAACTAAATGGTGCACAACCGACACTTTTCAAACAAAGACAAGAATTCATTTTCACTAATTTTTTGCTACTGTAATATTAAAAGTGCTTGTATCATCACAGGTGCCTGCATTTACTGGGTGTGTTTAACTGTCCACCACAATAAAATGGCACTCGCTGTTCTCTCAGTTGGATTTGTATAAGCTTTTTTGACAATACAAAGGAACTTTGATCAGAAACAGTTCATAATGTTTTCTGTAGCAGCACTGACTTGACCTCAATAAATATGGAGAGATGTTTTAGAGTCAAAATATTACCCCGAGGTAGGTACGGTGGCACGGCTCAGATAGTGTTTATGCAGATCAGATACCTTTTGGTACCTAGTTTGTCATGGAATTTCTCCCCTCTCAGGCCACCTCTTATCGCAGGTGCACAGAACACATTTTCCAGACAGCATCTCTCACACAAGAGTAGTTTTCTCTTTGGAGGAGCCAGCCCCAGACTGCCCATTATTTAAGTGTGCCCAAAACTTCACCTGCTGATAAAGTATTCTTCATGCAGGTACAAAACATCCTGGACTGCTCTGTGCCAGGAGCGCATTTGAGCCTCTGGCCACCAAATTGGTCGGTCCCACCCACATGCGCTGCTGAGACCGCAGCTGTATTTGTGCACAGTTTTAACAAAAATGGTGTCCATTATGTTGATCTGAGATACAGTGTTAACCTCTGTGTGGATGTTTTGTGTGTGTTGGCTGTGTAGGAGTTTGCCACCCTGACGAAGGAGCTGAACATATGTCGGGAGCAGCTGCTGGAGAAAGAAGAGGAAATATCTGAGCTGAAAGCTGAAAGGAACAACACAAGGGTACGTGTGTGTGTATGTTTGTGTGTGTGTGTGTGTGTGTGTGGCCATAATAAGTAGAAGGGCTTGGTGATGCTGATGAAAACAAACAATGTTTCTGAGATCGAAATTAGTATTCTCTTTGTTCACGCCCGCATTCGTGTGTGTGTGTGTGTGTGTCTTTGTGTACGCTGTAGCTGCTGTTGGAGCACCTGGAGTGTCTGGTGTCTCGTCACGAACGCAGTCTAAGGATGACAGTGGTAAAGAGACAGGCACCCCCACCATCTGGAGTCTCCAGCGAGGTGGAGGTCCTCAAAGCTCTGAAGTCCCTGTTTGAACACCACAAGGCTCTGGATGAAAAGGTGGATTCACACACTCTCTCTCTCTCTCTCACACACACACACACATATAGGGATTGTGGTCAGTTCCTACAAATACATGAAGGGGAAACAGCTGCCTCATTTGGTAACTTCAGAACATGGTATTTCCATCACATTTTGCTGCATTGCACTGAATCGCCGTCCTCCCTCGCTAATTATTTCTGATCTATTCAATTTTGTTGTCCGTTCCCTACGTTTTAATGAACCTCAGCACTCTCTCAGTTTCAGAGTCGAGTTACTGCATGCAGAGATTGCTGCTGAAAAGTTACGAGATGCACCCAAAGAAGCAGAAGCACATTCAGATAAACTAATATAGCTCTGCATTTATGGGATTGCGGAAATGAAATTAAATCAAGATCAAATTTTTGAGGATATGTAGTTCATTAAAGCATATTTTATAATGTCTAAGGTTATTAAGACTAAACGTGTGTGTCCTCGGTGCGTGTCAGGTGCGGGAGAGGCTTCGGGTGGCTCTGGAGAGGGTGGCCACCTTAGAGGGACAGCTAGCATCTACCACACAAGAGGTGAGATGTGTGTGTGTGACTGTTGATGCATATGTGTGCACGCGTTCCTGTATGTGGTTATTGTTAAGTTAAACATCTGCTCAACCCCTTGCAGACATCTGTTGAAGCCTCCAGTCTGATCTGACGTACACTCCCGAGTGTCACGCTGGGTGAGAGGCTCTCTCCTCTCAGCCCACTGTTCATACCCATTACACATTCACACATAAAAAAAAAAAGACATCAAAGAAAGAAACCTAAAGATATATTAGTGTTAAATATTCACAGCAGGCTCGTTTAAAGTAGAATCCCAGCAGGCAGGTAATGTAGGATTTGCAGTCGAAGCTTGTTAAGTTGCACAGATCACAGGGTTTTATACGAGGAGCAGACCCTCAGTGAAGCGAACCCTCCCTGCCTCCTGTTTTCTGAGTATATTTGTAGATTTGTAAAATACGATAGGACTTGTTGTCTTAAGCAGTGTGAGAGCCGTGCTTCCTTTTTTTGATGCTGGGTTTTTGCTCTCGAATTGACTAAGGAAAAAGAAAAAGGAAGCGAATGTGTGAGTTTGTTCAGTGTTTTTTTTTTTTTTCTTTTTTAATCTACTTTGCAGTTGAACATGGTGAGACAGAGGAAGGACGGTGACTCAGTGGAGCGAGGAGATGGATCCAAACCTACATGGAAGGTCTTCCTGGCTGTGTGATTGTTTTTCTGATCTGTGCTTTATTTTAAGTCCTATAGTAGCTGTGTGTTTGACCACTGGTCACTTTAGCATCTTCTTTCTGTCTTTCTCTGACACATTAAAACATCCACCCACACGCATACATATGTAACTGGGACTAGATCCATCTGGAGTAACAAACGTCTCTGCGATTAAATAGCCGAGTTTGTTTGTGACTGGATGGAAAATCTTTCTTTCTGTGCCGGCTGTACGGCAGACGAGGAACAGTTTATGATCCACTTACTGTTGTCCCTGATTTTGTGGCTTCAGTGATAAAGAAACCAGAAATATCTCCTATTATGTAAAGAATAATTAAACTTCAAAAATCAATAACCTACCATTAAGAAAGGATAAAAGCAAGGGGAAGACTGTATTATAGGATGGCCACAGATAGTAAGGGAGAAAAGATGGAGAGAATTAGCTCGACTGTGGCCATTAGAGAGAAGAGTGTAGTTTAGATGTCACAGAATGTGAAGAGTGCAAACACACCCTGTTATGACATTTCATGACACCCACTGCCCTGCTGACAGTCTGATGTTGCAACTAGCACCCTTTAGAGGATACTGTTGGAGCAGAAACTCTAACAAAGACGATTTTAGGGTCCTGTCCTGCTCAGTGACTGCTACACAACATCAGTTAGGGTACAATGTTCTTTCTTTTGTACAGTTACATGGGGTAAATCTCACCAGGTGTGTTTCATCGCACCGTTTCACACTATTCAGCCCTACTCAGCTCAGTTTGTGTGTACATTTCTGTTTCTGTAAGGCATTCATGAATAGGCAAAATAGGAGCATGAGGGAGCAGAGGGGGTCCTACTAACTTTGGCTGCCCATTATGTTGCCTGTGTGAATATGTGTCCCTGAAGGTTTGTGTAATTAGGGCCCTGGAATTAACAGCACTTTGAGCTGCATAGAGAAGAGAAACAACATCAAAACAACAACATGGCAGCCTAACCTCACATAACCCATCCCCATATGCATAAAACTCACCAATTTTTATCTAGGTCACCCAGCAACTTCATCAGTTTTACAACTCTCAATACCCCCAGCTCATCGCATGTACTTTTGCCTCTATGTAAGTAAGCACTAAGATGCATTTTATGTGTGTATATGTGTTCATTTTGTATGTTCACCTTGCAGAGACTACCCAACGGCTCTATAGACGCCCACGATGACGGCAGCCGGGTGTCTGAGCTTCAAGAGCTGCTGGATCGGACCAATAAGGAGCTGGCTCAGAGTCGTGAGCACTCTGCCACTCTTAACGGCCGGGTGGCCGAGCTGGAGGCCGAGCTGGCGAACGCACGCCGAGAACTGAGCCGCAGCGAGGAGCTGTCAATCAAACAACAAAGGGAACAGAGAGAGGTGACAGTAAAAGATGGAGACGCAATTGTGCTTTGGTTCTGGGAGCAAGCAAGAGAGAGCAGTGGGCAGCAAAAATGCAAAGTTTTTCATATAAAGAGATAATAAAATTTGACTTTCCACTTATTTGTGGGACTGGATCTTAGATCTATGTTAAGAAATACAATCTTGTGATTTTAAAAATACACATTTTCATTCATGCCATGCAAAGTTCTCTCTCCTGCCGGGAAATGGTGCATGAGAGTGGATGGCTACAATGGGCCAAACAGCCACGGAAAAATATGTTTGTAATTTTTAAAAAAAAATTGCTTTCAAAACTTATGTTCAATTTTGACACTTTTTGAGAATTCTTGTTTTCTCATAATTGGAGTTTAATGTTTAAAATGAAAGCAACAGCTATCTAACTATCTGCTCATATGTATATACTGGTTATAATACTCAAGGTCTCATTTTGTCATACAACTCAAATCTGCTTGAATATGTTTTTGGTGAAAACTTGGAATGAAGATGGATAACTAATACCAGCAACTCATATAAAAGCTTTCCAAAAAAAAAAAAAGAAAAATAAAAGTCTTTTTCTTGATACATCAATCTGAATAGCAAGCAAACAAAAGAAATTCTTTTTTTTGCATTTATTTGTTTAACAACAAAAAACAAGATATTATGAAGATGTGTATTATGTGTGTGTGTGGGTATATATATATATTGATAAATCTGTCAACAATGTATGACTCTTGATTTATCTAATGTTCTCTTTCTGCACCCACAGAGAGAAGATATGGAGGAGAGGATAACAACATTAGAAAAACGCTACCTGGCTGCCCAGCGGGAGACCACACACATCCACGACCTCAACGACAAACTAGAGAACGAACTGGCCACCAAGGATTCCCTGCATCGACAGGTAACACACTTCTACACTAGCTACACACAGTTAAAACACAATAGTTTGCATAATGAACCCTATTGCTGGCCGAGTGCATTATTATCATTCAAAAAATAATAAAAGCACAGTCATCGAAAAACAGTCATTTGTAGGTAATTGCTAAAAAGAAAAGTTAAGTGGAAATGGATGATGGCTGTCCCAAAGCAGAATTTAGGCACAGAGGCAGAAAAAGCAACAGCAAAACAAACAACACAATGAACATCTCTGTCACAAATCAGGCTCTAAATAGATATTTATGAATGTGTTGTTTCATTACTCTGCTATGTTCAAGCTGCCTTGAATGCATTACAATGCTAATGCGTTGTTAAGTGACACCAAAAATTGCACATTTGTCTTGATGCAAGGTGATATATGAGTAGCAGATTCAGGCTAATGCTTCTTTCTCTCCTGCAATGATTTAATATTTCATGCCTCAACCATTTGCAACAAATGTATGTAAGGTATTGAGGAGCATCACAGTCGGTGAGTGAGCAATAGAAACATCCTGCTCAAAGGTTCATGTGTAGTTCAGGGTGAATCTGAGTTCAGCTCCACGAGGGAAAACACCAGCAACATCCTCCGTGTTGCCCGCGTGTCGTGTCCTTGCTACTTGCTGGCTGCACTACACTGATTACACCTCTCTTGTGATTGCAATAATGTCCCTCCTCTATGTTTGAATATGTGTGTGTGTGTGTGTGTGTGTGTGTGTGTGTGTGTGTGTGTGTGTGTGTGTGTGTGTGTGTGTGTCAGAGTGAAGAGAAGGTGCGCCAGCTGCAGGAGATGCTGGAGATGGCAGAGCAGAGGCTGGCTCAGACCATGAGGAAGGCTGAGACACTGCCAGAGGTGGAAGCTGAACTGGCACAGAGAGTGGCAGCGCTATCCAAGGTAACGCACACACAAAACAACATACAACTATAGCAAATGATTTTTAAAATAAAAATAATAATAAAACAAGAGTCAGTGATTTACAGATAGAAAACACAAAACCAGATAAGCCTACAGAGAGGCACTTCTTCAGGTACTTATATGTACGTGTCTCCCCCTGCAGGCTGAGGAGCGCCATGGCAACGTGGAGGAGCGTCTCAGACAGCTGGAGTCACAACTGGAGGAGAAGAACCAAGAGCTAGGAAGGGTGTGTGTGTGTGTGTGTGTGTTTGTGTGTGTGTGTATGCAGCAGCCCTGCAGGGTCTCTCTGACCTCTCACTATGATGTGTGTATGTGTGGGCTGATGCTTCACATTAGTCGGACGCCTTGACTCTTGGCTCTGTGCTTCCTCATGCATACAAGTACATACACAGACGCACAGGAAACACACATTCAAGAAGAGCTTTTTTCATTTTCCCAGTGCATTGTTGCATGAATTCAAACCAAATCCACATATCTCAGTGCAACACACACACACACATATATACACACACAGAAACCCCCCCTCCTCCCATAAGACTGATTGGCTGCTATCTTTAGACTCTGAATAATTCACGCAAGGCTAATTTCTCTCTCTCCCTCTGCGATCGCATGACTATATTTAGTAGGAAGAGCTCTCTGAGGATGCAGATCTGTGTTTGTGTGTGTCTGTGTTAATTTACTTTAATGAAATTACCACAGAACACATATTAAGCACTGCACTCCTCGTTTAGGAGAAGCCGTTTAACCCTTTTGCATCATCACCTAAATGACTGTAATTAAATCATTCTGACTGAGTGATCCATTGTTGGCCAAGAAGACCTATATCTGGCAGCTGGTGATCTAGGGCTAAATACACACTTCATCCTTTAATCCATGTAGAGATGCTTGATTAGCTGCATAAATACACCCACATGGTGCCTGTATCAAAGAGAAAATTTGATGATGTCATACCCCTCCTCTGGGTTCCCCTTTCTGCTCATCAGGCCCGTCAGCGGGAGAAAATGAATGAGGAGCACAACAAGCGTTTATCTGACACTGTGGATCGTCTGCTCACCGAGTCCAATGAAAGACTGCAGCTCCATCTGAAGGAACGCATGGCTGCCCTGGAGGACAAGGCAAGGCCTGCACACGCACATTCATCTAAGCAGCGGCTCATGTTGCTGTTGTTTTTGGCTCACGGACCAAACGAATACACAGTACTACACATGATCTTCTTGGAAAACAAACTTGTTGTGACGCAGGTTCATGATTTATTTATTTATGTTTTATCTAGAATTCCCTTATTCAGGACCTCGAGAACTGCCAGAAACAGCTTGAAGAATTCCACCACACCAGGGTCCGTAAGACTTCAATGGATCGCCTAAGAACTAAAATCCACTATTGTCTTCTCACTTCCACCTTAAATGCTCTATAATCAACAGTGAAATGCAACCAGTTACATAAATGCTGTACAGATTTGTGGTACATATACAGTACTTTGGGTTTTTCCATTTTATGGTGTTCTACTCTACATTTCAGAGGACAGTATCAATTTGTGAGGACCCATAAGCTCATAAAGCTTCCCAAACACATATACTGTACCTAGAGTAGTTGAAATTTGTTCCGCTTGGATGGCTAAACCAGCTACACACCTTCAAGGCATAGTTTTTGAAAATAGCTTTTTGCTGGATGTTAGAAGAGAAGATATATACCTGTCCAAATCATACAAACTATTAGGACCTGTTTAGCTTATCTTAAAGTACTCATATGCTAAATGTCAGTTTTTATAGTGTTTTGTGGTTGTTAGAAACTTGGAGGTGTATAAACTGTTAAGACATAAAGACATTTATTTCTGTCATTCCTCAAGCCTCCACATGACTAAATAGCCTCCCAGCTTTAAAAGCCAGTGAGTTTTTACATTTTAACAGCCATCTAACTCAAATTCTGCATAACGCTGCCCCCTCACTGCCCACTACTTCCTGGTGAACTGTTCAGAAAGCTGTCTCACAGTCCATCAGGTTGATTTACTTTCAACATTTGCTTCCTCTAACTCTAAAATGTCTCAGAATCAGGAATACTTCATTGATCCCCTCGGGGAAATTGTTTTCTGTTACAGATGCTCCCAATCAAAAGTGTTAAAAGAAGTAGGAAAAGTAAAAATATATAATAAAAAATATAAATATAAGTATTAATATGAAATAAAATATATCTCAACACAAAAAATAAAGCCACAAAACAAAGCACAGCAAATGTTCTGTTGTTCACTGCAAAAATGAACACAAGAGTCCTCATGCACTTCCAATATCTAAGGAACTGAACACCCAGTGGATTACTTTTACTTTTGATGTAACAATGTCCATACAAGCATAGGATTTTTTTTATTATTAGCGTGTTGTGCAGCTAAGGTGGCTAACGTTACTCTGAGCTTTGATCACATGCCCTCAAGTCTGAGTTCAATGGAAACTGTAACGCCGAAGAACATTCCATTCCAGTTAATGTTAAGACCGATTTGAAACCAGTAAACAAGGACTAGGTGGGTTACTGTGTTTTTATCTCACCTGTCGTGTTCAGTGCAACCTAAACTCAGACAATAGAACAAGTCTAAAATAGCGACTGAAACGCAACCCACTATAACTACATGTTGACAGTCACTACTGGATAGTCATTAATCCAAGAAGCTGCTCTGCGCTGTTAAACTACTGATTTTACCAACACAGTATGTCTGTCGTACTCACCACACACAGGAGGTAGAAATAGTTGTGGATTCAGCAATTTCCATGTAAGATGATCACTCAGAAAAAACGTTAGAAGAAACACACTTTTACACCTCTGTCAGCTGTGGTCTGCTGAAGCAACTTCTTCCTAAAGTGGGCGTGGACAGCAACAGCTCACCTGCATTTAAAGCTACAGACAGTAAAACAGCCTCTTCAAATTAGTCATGGTAAAGCGAGTCATTTCTCTTGTATTACTATCGAGTACACACTGTGGAGGCATATGAGACTTTCATTATTACAGGACCTGTAACATAAAAACTGGAAGGCAGCAAGATACAACACATCCAAGGTTCACTAATTAACACATTATATCTTCAGCACATCTTGTTTGGCAGTCTGTGCAAACCTACATGTAATGATAAGTTGCAGTTTTACATGGGGTTTTGTGCCAGACTATTTCTTGGCCTCACGCAGTGATTAAGAACATTTTGTTACCATTGGCCAGAAATAGCTGTTCCCTCCTCCTTCTCATTTTCACTACAGATTTAAAAGTGGTATCAACTTCTCATGTAACTCTGAGCAAGAAAGCAAGACAATGCATTTCCTAAAGTATTCAATTAATCCTGTAATGCACATGTACTAATAAACCAATATAACATTGAGAACAGACACCAATAATTACACTTGGGGACTTTTCTGTTCTTTTTGTACAATCTGAATGCCAGTCTTTTACTTGTAATGTAGCACTGTTTTAATCTCTGTATTTTTTACTTGAGTAAAGGATCTGAATATTGCTTCCACAACTGCCCTGAATGTGCCTCTCTCACTTAGGAACGGCTGATTGGAGAGATTGATAAGCTGAGAAACGAGATCGACCATTTGAAGCGTCGCAGTGGGGCTTTTGGAGATGGAACTCACCCTCGGTACAGACATTCCTCCACACGAGCTCTCTCATCCTGATATTTATACTCGCACTGTAACACATACATTATTGAAGGTATTCTGTGCTATGTATATTATGTCAGGTCTCACTTGGGTAGCTCCAGCGACCTTCGCTACTCCATGGTGGAGGGCCAGGATGGCCACTACAGCACAACTGTGATCAGGCGAGCACAGAAGGGTAGACTGTCAGCGCTACGAGATGATCCAAACAAGGTGCTAATGATGTTTTTCATTAGGCCAGAGCAAATGCACAATTCCTCACACACGCACACACACACACACACACACACACACACTAAGCAGGATGGCAAACTTACAGATCCACGTTCAAGATCACATTTCAGCTGCTCTTCTAACCACATGCTGCTCCTTACAGTCCAGGTTCATGTATGCTTTGCTAGTAAGTGTCAGTGCTTCATGCCTAACTTCCCATTCTCTACTAACCTCTCTGTCTTTCTGTCTCTCTCACCTGCTGCCATGGACATGCTGTGTGATGTAAGTTTCCTGTTCATCCATTTCTCTCATAGCTGGCCAAATGCTTCCATATAATACTGCATAATGTTTCATATTATGTTTTTGTGTGTACGTACTTAATCAGGATCCATCCGTGTTGTACAGGTTATGTTCATTTAAAAAATAAAATAAAATGCATGCAGTATTAAACAAGTTGTTGTTCAAACTCATGCGTATCTGTTGTGTTTAGGTATGTGCGGTGTTCGAACAGGACTACCCGTCTCTGCGTGGGAGCGTCAGCCACCTCCTCGGCAGCGACATCGAGGCCGAGTCAGACCTGGATGATGACGTTAGCTCGGCCCTGCTTTCCCCCAGCGGCCAATCAGATGCTCAGACTCTGGCGCTCATGCTGCAAGAGCAACTTGATGCTATCAATGAGGAGATAAGGTGGCGTATTACAGGCACATTACTTTACAGCACATGACAGTTTCATGATCGCCCGTGGGGAAAGTGGGTCAGTGCAGCAACAAGGAGCAGGAAGCAGAGAGGAGGAGAGCACAATGGTAAAGATAATGCAAAGATAATTACAAGAAAAGTAACTTTTGAAGACACAACAACAAATATAAGTGCTGCTGCTTCATCTTCTTTTTAAAAAAAAAATGCAAAAAGGCCTGTGGAATTATGGGTATATGGATGCATAAGGACTGATAAAGACATTAGATAGAGAGATGATGTTTTGTTCCTTGGATAAAAAAGCTGTAAAAGAAATTACTTTGCAGCACCTGAAGGCACAGTTTTGAGCATGCCAAAAGTGACAGTGTGCAGTGTACGATGGTTTTTGAAAGTTTTCGAGCTTTATCTGCTGAACTACAAGAAGATATAACAGAGGAACAGAGAAAGCCTTTGACTGACTGCATGCATCTTTTTAAGATATTTGAACACATTCGATTTACCTGAAGAAATTTTCTTAATAAAGACATGCAAGTCACCAACAGCAAAGGTACTGTATGTAAATATACCTTTATCTGAAATATTTAGACTAAAAAGAGCTTTTACATAAGGGTTATCCCATCATCTACTTCCTTATTTACATTGGCAACCTTTAGCTCAGAAGTTAGACAGACTGAGGAAGTGAATGGAATTAATGTAGAAACATGCTTTGAAGATGTATTCAACTAATATGAGAAAAATCTACTGATTTCTACAAAATGTCAGGATGAAAGATCAGGAACTACAAAACTGTATGAATGCAACATATCAGAGGATCTTAAAACACATCAGAGGACTTCGCTGACACAGATTTGGATGTGCATATACCGTCACATGGTAGGGGAATTTATTGTGGTTAGTAAGAGGTTGTACCTAAAGCTCCATTGTGGAAGGCATAAAAGGAATACAGTTATCCAAAAGTAAATTAATAAATAAAATAGATGCCAAGATGATAATATGTTGATAAGGCCTTTTGCCTTTCAGTTCTGTTTCCTGCTGGAAGAACACGCTGCTTATCGCAGTTTACAGTAAACAAGGTCCTACTTCCGACACCTCACAATATGCTTCAGCAAAAATGCAAAATAGCTGCTGATTATGCTGCAGAGGAGCCAAACTCTCTCAAAGCGATATAATCTTTGTTATTTAAATGGTATTTTTTACCATATCTGATCTTTCAGTGATTGTTTGCTTTTTTTCCCTCAAATTGTTACCTTGGTAGTTTTTATCATTTTTAGTTATTTACCAGATTTGCAGAAAATAAGATGCATACATGAGATCCTTACCTCTACACCACAAAAGAAATAGAAAATCCAAGTAAATATGAGGATAAATATTATGGCTTGGAAAATAATTCAACAGTTGTTGAAGAAGAGATGGTCGGGTGATTACTTGATTTGTTTGTGTGCGTGTTTGTGTGTGCAGGATGATCCAGGTAGAGAGAGAGTCGGCAGACCTGCGCTCTGACGAGATCGAGTCTCGTGTGAACAGCGGCAGCATGGATGGACTCAACGTGACCCTTCGACCTCGAGCGCTGCCCACCTCCGCCACTGCCCAGTCCCTGGCATCATCCTCCTCCCCGCCCACCAGTGGCCACTCCACACCCAAACATCACGCACGCAACGCCAGCCACCACCTTGGCATCATGACTTTGGTCAGAAATCACACAGACTGAGTCTGTCATATGTGCACACAAACAGCAATATGTTGAATTGAAACAGAAGTGTGCAGGTTCTTTTTTATCAAAGTGTGCTATTCTGTTTCTGACAGCCGAGCGACTTGAGGAAGCACCGAAGGAAAGTAGCAGTAAGTTTGCAAACTGCAGTCACACTGGTTTTGTCGGCTTACTGTGGCGTTCACGAGCTGAGCTAAATTTGTGACTCTTTCAGTCTCCTGTGGAAGTGGACAAAGCTACGATCAAGTGTGAGACGTCACCTCCCTCTTCACCTCGTAGTTTACGGCTGGAAACCAATTTCGCCCAATTCACTGGCAGTCTGGAGGATGGACGAGGGTAAGTACACACACACACAAATACACACATAGTACAGTATGACAAACAGTGAAAAGGAAGAAGGTGTAGAGTTAACAACGAATCTTTCTCTGTGCTCCATACACACTCCTGTTTACTGTTTGTAATGCAGATTTTAAGTGTAACACTGTTTGTCTGCTTTAACTATTTGCAGCAAGCCAAAGAAAGGAATCAAATCATCGATTGGCCGATTGTTTGGGAAGAAGGAAAAGGGTCGACTGGACCAGACTGTTGGCAGAGATGGTCAGCCTCTACAAGTCTTATCAGGTGCACTGCAGAATACACACTATATCCTCACACCGTTCCGCATCATGTATGAGATTTAAAGACTAACACATACGTGACTGTATTTTAGACTTTGATATGGGCATCGGGGACACTATGACCCTGGGAAAACTGGGCACCCAGGCCGAGAGGGACCGCAGAATGAAGAAAAAGTAAAAGAACACATTGTTTGAGTATTTTTTCTTCTTCTCACCAACTTTTTTCTCTGTTTCATGACTTTCCTTCTGCCTCTGTTTTTAATTCCCTCTTCAGGCACGAACTTCTGGAAGATGCAAGAAAAAGAGGTCTGCCATTTGCTCAGTGGGACGGCCCTACTGTCGTCTCATGGCTAGAGGTATTCCACGAATCTACCAAACAGAAATTTACATAAAACCAATCCCAGTCTGGCTGTTCTTATGTTTGGCTGTTACTGCTACAAATGGGAATACAGTAATATCAAATACCCCACAGTCTGATCTGCACGCCCTTCTCCTTCTATCTGGCCTTTTATGGTGACAATGGTGGTGACGTTGAATGTCTTGATGACTCTCACCAGCTGTGGGTGGGTATGCCAGCCTGGTATGTGGCAGCCTGTCGTGCCAACGTGAAGAGCGGAGCCATCATGTCAGCTCTGTCAGACACAGAGATCCAGAGGGAGATCGGCATCAGCAACCCTCTGCACCGACTCAAACTCCGCCTGGCCATTCAGGAGATGGTCTCCCTCACCAGCCCATCTGCACCACTTACGTCCAGAACGGTAAACAAATACGACCCAATGAACTTCCATGAACACAGGCTTATTGTGTTTTTTTTGTGTTTTTTTGTTTTACAGGCACATAAATACGCAGATTATAAATAAATGAATAAATGATCACATGAACCTGAAACAAAAAGAGCTGTTCCACTGTTAGTCTCAACCTTCACTCTGCACCCTCAGGTGATGCCTCCTCACACCTTTTTTTTTTGTTCCTGTTCAGACTACACCAGAGGCTTGGTTCATGCCTTTGACAGGACTGACTTGTCTTTTTCAGCTGCCATAAATTGCATGGATTACTGTGGGGGAAAAAACAGACACAAATAGTGCCAGATATAGCTACAAGCTACCTGCCTGAAATACACTCCCTCCCTTGGCATCACTCAACACAATGTTTGTCTGTGTGTGTGTGTGTGTGTGTGTGTGTATGTATGTGTGATTGTGTGTGTGCACGCGTGTGCATGGGGGTTGATATGTGTGAAAATATACACATGAGTGCATTCTTGGGTGTGCTGTCGTGTGCCTGTGTATGCACACTTTTGTTTGTGTGTGTGTGTGTGTGTGTGTGTGTTTGGGTGTGTTCTCGTCCTCTGAGCAGTCCTCCGGAAATGTGTGGGTGACTCATGAAGAGATGGAGAACCTGGCTTCCTCCACCAAAGCGGTCAGTACCATCTGGGTGCTCTCCCTCCCCACCGCCCGACACTCTCTCACGCTCACACTGTCCCCACCGCGACACACATATGTCCTCTCCCGGAAGACCCCTTTAAATACATCCTTTTTTTTTGTGCTTCTGCTGCTATTTGTTGGTGTTTTGTTGGATGATGTAGCCTGTGGTCATGTCGTCTGCGTCTCCATGCGAAGTTCAGTTAGTAACGCGAGTGCTGATGTGCAGCTACGGTTAACTGGAGAGTCACCGCAGACCAAAAACTCAGAAGAGCTTTTGTGCGTTTCTAAGTGTGCAGTATGTGTGTTTGATTAGTCCCTGTCTCTCTAACTTCATGTATATTGTCTCTACCATGCTGCCGCTCAGGAGAATGAGGAGGGCAGCTGGGCACAGGTGAGGCTGCTGATCTTTAAACATCACATCTGTCTGCAGATATACAGTGAAAGTGTACCAAGGCTCCTCACAAACACACACACATACAGTTATGACCAAACGTTTGCATACACCTGTAAAGAATCATGAGTGTCCTGTAGCACATTTAACTCGTCATTTTCTATAATGGAATTCAACCTATGCCTGAATGCCATGAATTTTGATACTTCATAGATTTATTATAGGTTTTCTGGAAGAATGACAACAAAGTGCAGCAGTAAGATTAAACAATGAAACTGGTGGAGAACAACCAATAAAACAGGGACTCAGATAGGGATGTGTGCTGTCACCTGACCTGTTCTCCTTGTAAAGTGAAAACTTCATGAGGAAAATACAAGGCTTAGCAGGAGGATCCATTGGAGGTTGTAACATAAATAACATACGTTAAGCAGATGACACAGTGCTGATAGCAAACAGTGAAGAAAACTTGCAGACCATAATATCCAGAATTGATAGAGAACCAAAAACTTGGGTCTGTCTTTAAACAAAAAGAAAACAGAAGTAATGGTAATTTCAAAGAAAAATGTCATCCCAACCTGTAACATAAAATTAGACCAAGAAATACTGAAGCAGGTTTACCATTTCAAATATCTTGGTTCATGGATGACATCAGATGGGAGGTATGAAGCAGATATCATATGTAGAGTAGCAATGGCAAGAATAGCATTTATGAAAATGAAAAATATACTGACAAATAAGAAAACAGGAATTCGCATCTGTATGAGAACTGTCAGCTGTTACATTCTACCAGTTCTGATGTGCGGACGTGACTCTTGGAACATAGATAATAAAACATCAAACAAAATCGCTGCAGCAGAGATGTGGTTTTACAGAAGCATGATACGTATATCTTATATGGACAGAATAAGCAATGAAGATGTTTTTTAAAAATTGCTAAACACAAATGACACACTTTTGAACAAAATTAGGAAACGACAAGCAGCATTTTTTTGGACACATCATAAGAAAAGAGACCCTGGAATATATTGTCACAACTGGAAAAATGAATGGGAAGAGAGGACGAAGCAGACAGAGAATGAAAATGACATCATGGCTACACATGGAACGGGCAACAGTCACAATTCAAAAAAGCAAAAGATCAGTTTAGATGGAGAGAAATGATCGCCTACGCTGAATGGCAAGGCACTTGATTGATTGATTGATTGATTGATTGATTGATTGATTGATTGATTGATTGATTGATTGATTGGAAGAATGACAAAATGCGTTGTGTCAAAAATATACATACAGCAATGTTAATATTTGGACCTATTTAAATTGGCTCAGAGGAGTCAGCAGCTGTAGTCAATCATAAGAAGTAAAGAGGCCATGCCACTAAGAACTAAGCTTTCTGCACCACCAAAACTCATAATTAAAGTTGATGTATGTATATTTTTTGACCTAGCAGATTTTAAGATCTATAATAAATCTATGAATCAATTAAAATGAATGATTGTCTTTTTTTATAACAAAGACACGTGTTTCAAAGATTCCATCGTAATAAATTCAGAGTAATAGGAATCACTGGAGACTCATCTGTATGTGGAAGAGAGAGTTGACCTAACCTTCAGCTTTATGAAATAATAATAAGTGATGATAACTTTCCGTCCATTAGTCAGTGACACTGACATTGTCCTACATGTTCTAGCTGTTGTTGTTCTTCACTCTCCTGTTAACTTTATTGCATCTGTCAGTTGGGACAATCAACACGTTTATTGTTTTGACTGGTACATGGAGTTTAGTGACCTTATGTAATTCCCTCTATTGCGTAATCAACCCTGGCAGAGGATTAGTCAGATTTGAAAACACCTGCGTAGTTGTGAAGGGCTTTTAAAAATATGCAATGTGCAGATTTTATTGTTTGAAAAGCCCCAAGACAGGATACAACAGTATATACAGTAGCTTATTTATTTGACTTGTCATAGACATTTCCAATAAAGGCGGCTCTGTCCTATTTCAAGTGAGCCCGCATGCTTCTGGGTCTTGGATCTGTAAAATCTATATGAAGTGAAGCCATGATTGTTGTTTGTCATACCTGCGATATTCTCCTCCTTATCTGAATCTGAAAACTTGAGCCTATGTTAGTTTATTAATTTATGCAAAATGACAAGTAGAAGCTGTGATTATGATGAGGTTTTGTCTTTTTTCTTTGTGTTGCACACATACAGTAAGTAACAGTGTGTACTGCTCTCCACATAGACCTTGGCATACGGTGACATGAATCACGAGTGGATAGGGAACGAATGGCTGCCCAGCCTCGGCCTGCCTCAGTACCGCTCCTACTTCATGGAGTGTCTGGTGGATGCTCGCATGCTGGACCACCTGACCAAGAAGGACCTGAGGAGCCACCTGAAGATGGTGGACAGCTTCCACAGGTCTGCCGCTGTGGCGATTAGCTTAGCCGTTGTTTGATCTGCCTCCCCTTTCATCTGCTAACTGGGTACATTAGCAATGGAGATGAGGAGACTAATGATGCAGATGTGCTTGTGCTTTTCTGTGTGTGTCTGTGTGTGGGTGTGTATCAGGGCTAGTCTGCAGTACGGGATTATGTGCTTGAAGAGACTCAATTATGACAGGAAAGACCTGGAGCGCCGGAGAGAGGACAGCCAACACGACATGAAAGGTACACCCCTACGTACACCCTGATCCACGTAGAGCGACAGAAAAGCACGCAAACATTGGTCAAACACTGATCCAGAAGCACGCAGACATCGACAGCCTCATCAGGCCAGAGTACCACCTAGTGGTTTTATCCAGCGTTGTCGATTTGGGCTGAGCATTGAAACAGCTGCTCCTTCGACTGTCAAACAGCCAATCTTATGATCTAAAGCTCCACTTGCCAAGAGTGGTCTACACATACAGACACACACACACTTAGATGTAGCCAGCACTCTCGCCCTTTTGACCTTGAGTTCAGCACATGAACTTGACTCAGCTGTCGTGTCAAATCAGAATCCAGCCCCGTTTACACACACATAAACACACACACACACACACACACACACACACACACACACACACACACAGTCCGCCTGTTCCAACTTGGAAAGCTGGCTGACAGCTGTGCTTTAAATGAACAAAGGGAGTGTGCCAGTGAGTTGACACTATGCGGACATGCACATTATCTCTTTATCTCGCTCTTTTTCTGCGTCTCTTTCTCAGGATGATGTTGCTCCTGTGTCCTGATTAAGATATACGCCAACAGTTAATGTAACATTGTGCCACAGTACCTTGAATCTGAATCACTTTTATTTCAGATGTTCTGGTGTGGACCAATGAACAGGTGATCCACTGGGTCCAGTCCATTGGTTTGAGGGAGTATAGCGGCAACCTGTTAGAGAGCGGTGTCCACGGGGCGCTCATCGCTTTGGATGAAACGTTTGACTACAGCAGCTTAGCGCTCATCCTGCAGATCCCTATGCAGAACACACAGGTGGGCATCGAGCTTGCAGGTGTTCACACTCAACATGGAAGGATTGAACTGATTTCAACAGCTGTGTGCTCCAGTTTGTAAGCACAGTTTGATCCATTTTGTACACAGTATTAATGAATCACTAAATTAATATTTGTGTAGAATATTGACAAAAAATCCCAAGTAAAACCAGCACGATTTGTTTTATTTTGAATTCCCACACATCTGACACAATCTTTGGCAGAGCGGTGAGCTCACAGCAGCTCTTTTGGCGTCTCTGTGGCCACTCCGTCTTCCAACAGTCAATTGTTTTTATGAGACTGGTTGATTTACTTTTTGGTGACACAGTGTTTTGTGTGCAGTCAGCATTTCCTTCCGCCGCCTGCCAACATTTACTCCTGCTTCAGTTTCTGTGCTCAGATCAAAAAGCTCTGTTGTTCTCACCCAGATTTCCCTTTGAAGTATTTCCTGGTCACAGTACTGTGCCGATTATTTGCCCACAGTTCTGTATTTAGAGTTGGTTGTTTCTGGAAGTTCTACAGAAAACATGAAGGTTTTGACTGTTTATCAGAGGGGTTGTTTTGATTTAGTTTACAGGTATTTTTCAGGAGCTTTCATTGACATGTTGCCATCAGCTCTTGTTCACTGTTTATTTTTCAGGCCCGGCAGGTTCTGGAGAGGGAGTTCAACAACCTGTTGGCCTTGGGGACCGACCGCCGACTAGAGGAGGTGACCTGTCAAGATGCCGTTTTGTTCAAACACAATATTATGAAAGAGAGAAGCAAAAACCACATGGCCTTGGTTTGTTCTCTGTCCCCGTAGACCGGAGATGACAAGTCTTTTCGACGCTCTCCATCGTGGCGTAAGAGGTTTCGTTCACGCGAAGGAGTGGCGGGTCTGGGGATGATGGCGGGCTCCATGGAAACGCTGCCTGCTGGCTTCCGCATGCCCTCCATGTCCATGCCGCCCTCCATGAATCTGGCACCTAAGAAACACCTCCAGCCTGAAGGTGCGTGACAAAACTAACTGTACTGCTCTACGTCTGTTTATGTATCTGTTATCTGGTTGCTTCGACTGACTAACTGCATGCCATGTCCTCTCTGTCTTGCTGTGCTCTAAAGCTCCTCCCCCAGCACCCCCGAGACTCGACCCCTCAGCCGTGCGGACCTATTCATGCTAACTACACTCTTCTTACTAACAGGAGCGCTAATGCTAACAGGTAAGCTAACAAAGCACAACCTATAACTGCTCAACGTGCAGGTTAGTGCACTTTTAACCAGGGGTGTCCAGCTGTGTGGCAGGAATGTGGCTCTAACTTTGCTGTAAGAAACTAGGAAGTGGTGGAGACCATAACGGAGATTAAAATTTTTTTTAAAAAAGAGTATCTGCTTTCACCTGAATCCAACGCTTAAATACTGCTATCAGTGTTTGCCCATTTTGAAGGTTCATGTTATTTTCTAGGAGCAAAAAAAGTCCATCAATGCAGCCTTATAGATTAAGTGTGATGATGTTTTATTATTGTTGTTATTGTTATTGTGGACAAATCCCAATATATCCTAATAAAATACCAACATTAATAATGAACTGATCTGACTAATTCTCTGACCAAAGTCCAATATGATTTATTTTCTCTGTGCCATAGACCTTAACTTTTAATAATAAGAATTTTAATAGCAACAATTCCTTACAATAAATAAATAAACATGATTTACAAAATTAAATAAAGATAACACTTCATTTTGATTTGGAAAAACCAACCGATTAAAGTGTGTTACATAAAGAGATCTAAAAAAATAATACAGATTTTCTAGAGTTCCACAGCTGAGGGTCCCGGGGGTCAAAGGCCCAGTCAGGTTTATTGCCAAGATGAGAATTAGGAACCATGAGTGCAGCCCTTCCAGAGGACCGCAAGCAGAGATCAGACTCAAATGGCGTTAGCAGACCGTAGATATGGGCAGGAGCCTGATCATTCAAGGCTTTAAAGACAAGCAGTAAAATCTTAGTGTCAACTGTAAAGCTGACAGGTAGCCAGTGAACAGCAGCAAGAATTGCCATAATATGGTTGCTTCATACATGTTGAAAGACTGGCAGCAGGGTTTTGTATCAGCTGCAGTCTTTGTATGTTTTGCCTGCTGGTACCAGAGTAAGATGAATTGCAACAGTTGAGTCTGGAAAAGATTAAAGCACAGGTGGCCTTTTCTAAACCCACAGAAGAAAGGAATAATCTAGAAACAACTTGCTCCTTTGTTTGACTGGGTGACGTGTTACTACATCATGAAGTTGAAGTTGATTCTGAGACTATTCCACACACATCATACACATCATAAAGACTCAGTAACACACCAAATGTGCATACATCCATGACAGAAAATGAAAGAGTACCTCACAGATGCACTACTTATTTCTGTGTCAGTAGCATTGGCTTCAAAACTTCAGTGCATAGCTGTGTTAGAAATTTGCTTCTCTTTTTGGAATTTTTAAACATTAACATCATCGGGGAAATCATATGGGCTTTAAATTGAGTGCCACAGAGGGTGCAGGGACGTGGTTGGTGTTGGACCATTGATGGTTTTTTTGGTGAGACATGTTGACTAAAGGAAAATATAGATGAACATCAGCTTTATCTTTTGATTTTGTTTTCCATTGCTATTATTAATTGTTTGGACCCATAATTTGCATAGCAGAAAATTGCACTATGTACCATCAAATTATCAAAACTGGGGAGCCCGTATAGCTCACCTAGTTGAGCGGGTGACCCATGAACAGGGGCTACAGTCCCCAACGCAGCGGTTGTGAGTTCGAATCCTGCTCATGACCCTTTGCTGCAGGTCTCTCCCTCATTCTTCTACCCCCTTTCCTGTCTCCCTCTCTACTGCTCTAAATAAAGGCAAAAGCTCAAAAAATATATTTAAAAAAAATAAATAAATAAATAAAAAAATTATCAAAACTGAAAGTCAGTTTTTGGTCCAGTTATTCCCCCTATGCTTCTCATGTGCAGTTTAATCTTTAATATTACATTGTTTTATTTAAATAAATACAAGAATAAACATTCACTAAGATAAAGCCAAATGATAAAGCTGAGTTTTAAGAAGAAACTCTTCCATTCTGCCAAGGAAAAATATGGATTTTTACTATTGGAATGGTTTCATTTGAAGATTTAGATTGTTTTGCATTTATAGACTTTATCTGCTTGTATTGTACATGTCAAAGTTAAAGCTTCCTGCCTCACTTTCCTCATCTTTCTTCTCTCTTCCAGTGCATTCTCATTACCTATACGGACATATGCTTGCGGCCTTTTGAGAGTGATATGCCAAATCTGGAGAGGAGACCTGGGTGCCTCTGGGGGAGGCTTCCCCTCCTTTGCTGCCCAGCCTCACCTCCCACCTTTCACCTCTCACCTCTCCTTCGGACACGTGCAATACAGAGGCCAACTCTGACCTTTGAACTCTGAGAGTGCTCATTGGCTGCGCTCGCTGCTGTAAAAGAGGCTCGTCCCGGTCTCTCCCAGTTTACCCCAGTGCTCCCAGTAGCCTTGTTGTTGTGGTGTTGTGCTCCTGCTCCCCTGGTCTCAGCTGTGGGTTCTTGTCCTGGTTCTAATAGTCTCAACATGGCCAAGTCCAAACCAATCGTCCTGAGTCATCACGTCCTTCACAGAGCAACAGTTGAATAGTGAGGAACAGATTTAAGAGGGATGGTGACCAGTCGTTGGTTTGGACTTAGGAATGATGAATACTTGTATAAATGGCAGATCCCACTGCACATTACCCTTCTACCGGTTATGCAAGGTATTACTCATTTATCGTCTCTGTACATAAAATGGATGACTTATGTTTTTTATAGAAATATTATATATAAATATATATATATATATATATTGGAAATATATATGGAAAACAATATAATATCATTGCTGTATGAAACCCAATGCCCTGTATTCGATAGTGACTGTTCTCTCTCTCTCTCTCTCTCTTTCTCTTTCTTTCTCTTTCTCTCTGTGTCGGACCTTTGTGTGTCTTTTGCTGTATGCTGTAAGTGTGTGACTCGTTGGTGGGAGGGACTCACTAAAGGGAAGCGTGCGTTTCTACAAGGACTCTTCACAGGTTCATGGGTCCAATTTCAGACTTCTCTCTTTGCCTCTTCTCCTGTTCTTTCCTCCCCCCCCCTCCTCTTTTGACACGATGTAGCTGTTACCTCTCCTCTCTCCGCCTCTCTCGCCTTCTGTATGACACTATGTAGCCTAGAATAGAGAGAATCCTTTAATATGAAGAGTGTGTGTGTGAGCGAGTGAGTGAGTGAGTGAGCGAATGAGTCTCTCTGCCAGAGACTTGTGGAGAGGTTATGTGCGTGAAAGGCCGACCCCAGCCATGTGACCATGACTTTTCTCTGTGGATGGTAGTGTGAACACTGTAGCTCCTCTCTGTTTATTCCTTACTTTTCTCTCAAATCAAACTGTAAACTGCTGCTCGACATCAGCCGATGATATCCACATGAAACTGCTCCAAGTGACGGACTAATCTCGTTCCGTCACCTCCCATTTAGTTGCCATGGAGACTTGCTAGTGAGCAGTCAGTACTCTTGGCTGACCAACTCCTCATCCAATGAGAACACAGCATATGAACAAACCAGTGAGTGCTGGATGGGTGTACAATCTTTTTTTTTTTTTTTTTTTTTTTTTTTTGAGGTATTATTTTACAGTTTTTCCAAGGTGTCTAAAAGGTGTAACGTGCTATGTGGCAGCTATGAGTACTGTGTCTTTATTCCAGGTGTGAAACAATGCTGACAAATCAAGATTTTATTATTTGGCTATTTAAAAAAAAGTGTACTGTATTTATGACACTATATAGACATAAGTAAAGCTGTTTTTTAAAGATTTCGGATGTTGTGTTCCTTCTGATGTTCTCTCTGCTGTGTGAGAACGTTAAAACAGCGTATTGAAAATGGTCTTTATTGCAAGAATTAAACAGAAAATATCACTTTTTGGAACATCTACAAATACACAACAATCTTAGTTATAAAAGTCCAAAATAAGTTAGCAAAAAATAAAAAATAAAATGGCAAAACCACTCTGTAGAAAAAGGGAACGTATTTACATCACTAGCATTCATAACCAGTTTAAATTAAGCAGATCTTGGTCAAAACTGCCATGGTACATATTGGCCCCACAAACGAACTCATGTTTTTTTTTAAGCATTAAAACACACACGAAAAGAATGAAAGATCAGGGAAAAGCTTTGAAAAGAGGAAAACTTAAATTAAGTAAGGAGAAAAACCAGGCTTTGTCATTCCTCTGTGGCTCTGTCAGTCTGGAAGCAAGCCTAACAGAGATCCACTCTAGTAACTAGGTGTTGGGTTCATGCAGCAAAGTCCTTGAATCTCTAGTTAGTCTAAGCTCCTGTGGCTCTGACAGACAGGTCTGGACCGCGGGATAAGGCAGGTAACAATGGGAATAAGGCCTTATTGTGAACAGGAGGAATTCAGTTTGACTAGCAGACCCATAGATCAGCAGAGTTACAAAACTGATCAGTCACAAATGTAAAAATTTAGCATAAGACAGAACAGATCAGTAGACACACAGAATCATCATTTGGATTGGTTCCTCTGTTGCCAATTGTCACTTTGCTTTTTGTTCGTGGCTCTCTGCGCACCTACGGGTCCACTAGTCAGAGGGTCTATTTGGAAATGTCCACAGGAAAGGCCACGGGTCCATCAGGTGCAGAGGTGCCATCAACGATGGAGGTCAAAGCCCGCATGTTGCCCTGCTCTGGAGAGTCAGCAGCACTCAGGAGATCTGCAAGGAGACACAGTAGCACACTGTCAGTATCTGTGAGGGCTTGCTGATCTGTCTGTGCCGTCTAATGAGAACGAGTGTGATCTGTGCTCACCCTCGCTGCTGTAGCTCTGCGTGCACTGCTCTGGAGTGCTGCTCCACTCTGGGCTACTGCAGCAGGTGCTGCCCGAACTGGGCTCACTTGACGACGACACCTGTTACCATGGAGATGCACATACAGAAGTTGCCGTCAGTCACTCTGATGTGATTCAGCACACCACACAGAAACACACTACAGTGCTGTGTAATACCACACACACTCACACAACACTAATGCCTCTCGTGACTTCCAGAGAAAGAAGTAAATGATGAGCAAGACTTTTTAATACATATGTTTCATGAAACTAATATGTATAGATCTAATATACAATGTCAGTTGATTTTAAGCATTCAGTAAGTGTGTTTCTTGGTTTTTGGTATATTTTGGCATCTGTCACATTAGTTTTTTATTCTGTTTTGTAGATGGGTTAAAAGAAATCTGTATTCTAAAACATTACTGACCTCTTAAACTAAAGTTCATCCAATAAGCACACACGTATGTCAGCTTATTTCTCCAATTAAAACCTAAACTTGTGTAAAGCAACCAGTTCCAAAGCAGGTTTTGCTTTGGATCTGTTCACTAAAGTCACGCATTCTTCACAATTGTTTTACCATTTTTAAGATTTTTGTTGCTATAATTTTTTTTATCCTTCTCTACTCCACCTTTGATTTTTGTCAACATCTCAAACCACTTTCCAGCCAGTATTTCAACTTTTCTCTGGGATGCTCCTCATCCTGTCTCTGTCCTACTTACTCTGGGCTGGGCCTGGCTGGGTCGGTAGTGCAATCCCTGCTGTCCCGTCTCAGTGTCCTGCTGGTTGAGGGAGGACACCAGGGCCTGCAGTCTTTCGATGTACTGGATGGCGCTCCGCAAGATCTCCACCTTGGGCAGCCTTTGGTTGGGGTTCATCAGGGTGCTCCTCTTCAGAGCATCAAAGGCCTCATTCACCTTCTTCAGGCGTCTCTTCTCCCTCAGTGTGGCTGCTCGCCGGCGGTCCATGGTCACCGTCTTCCTTTTACACAGCTTGCATGCCCAGGGCAGGCACTGACCGGGACAGTGGGACTCAGAGTGAGGTGACAGGCTGGATGGAGAGGGTTTGTCCTCTGTACCTGTCACCCCGACTCCAACACCCCCAGACAGACTCCCGCACAAGCCCATCATGGAGTTCCTGTCCTGATAGCCAGCTTGGTCATACGCCCCAGGCAAGCGAGAGGGGAAGTAGCTGTCCCCTCCTTCATAGAAACGCTGGTCAGGGAAGAAGTAAGGGTTGGTCTCAAAAAGCTCCATAACTGGACAACGTGGTGATGTGGATGTAAAGGGGGCAAAGATCCCTGCTTCCCCGTGGAACTGCTCTTCAGTACGTGTTCTTCGGTCCCGCGTCTGTGTTGGAGTGTTACGTGTGCGTGGCTGTCTTCTTCCTGGCCCGAGTTTGTGATGAGTGGAAGACGTGTGGAGAACAACTGGTGTGGAGCAACTGTAGGCTGGCATTTAAACCCCTCTGCCTGCTGCAGGATCACAGGGTTAAATTTAGCACGAGCCCCCAGAAACCTGACACGACGTTTAGCTGTTGCTGCACATCTACACTTCACATCTCTGTTGGGCCCTGCTCTCTAGGGCTTTAAGGGCCCCCGTTTGTGTGTGCGTGTGCGTGCCCTTCTGCGGCTTTGTGCGCCCATGCGCGTCTTAAGAGGCCAGGATGCGATCGGGTTGCCGTGGAAATGGGAGAGATAACCTCAGATCAAAGATGTCCGTCTTAATGAGCTAATCCCAGACTCGCGTCCCCCCTCCATGACACCGTACATAAAGTGTGCTGCTATGAGGGTGGGGGTGGGGGGACAGTAGGGACAGTCTGGAGACAGCTGTCACTTCTACTAGGAGCCAGTGATACGCGGTGACAAGAAGTTGTTTGACTACTAGTTTCTGATGGGAAGTAAACGAGGCCAGAGTTTGTTGTTTACTCAAAACTGGGTCACACATAAATACTTGTGCAATGTTGTGACTGAAGCTATGTCAGGTTCATAATGATCAACAAGGTCAGCAGTAATTGTGGAGGTGACGTGAAAGCTCATGCCACTGTTGCCGGCTTTATGTAACCACATTCATATCTACTGACTTTCTTTCAGAGGCGAGTGATGCAAGTGACCTTCTCAGCTGCTCTCAGAACCAGACTTTGAAGGAACATTAAGTACCAAGTTGACACCGGCTCTCGGAAATCAAGGAGGTTTTTCTGAGTCGAGATTAATCAGACGGCGATGCGGGGAAACGGCCTCTGTTGTCCTGACCCCTTCCAGTGCACTGGTAGTGTTAGCCTAGCCACCAGGTGTTAATCCTTCCAGGACATGTCTCACCTCATAGCTCACCGGCTAATTCGAACTGGCTTCCACATAGCGAGGATGAACGGCCAAAACATACACTTCTGTCAGCAGAGAAGTGGTCTGGAATGATAAGCAGAGTGAGATGTGTTACATCCCTGTGTATCCTACAGCACTGCCACAGGTTTGCCACAGTAATACACATACCTGGCGATAAAAGGTTTGCTGGAGACTAGAGGAATGCTATGTTTGGTGGCTTTGGTAGATAAATTGCACAGGGGACTGGAGCATGCCAACACTAATGCCACATAAAGTCAAGCCTTTGACATTTGTCACGTGCTCACTTTTCTCTTTGTCAGAATTGCTTTACTTTCACTTTTCTAAAATAATAAAATGATAACTATCCATCTTTTTGCAGAGATATGTCCAATTATTTCTCACAATGAGACATAATTTTAAAAATGGTTAATTTTTCTTACCTCTTACAACTTGTGAAGCTCCAAAGTCAACACAAGATAGTAAAAGATCATTATGGCAGACAAAAATGTAAGTGAGTAATTTGACATCAGTAGATACTCTCGATACTTCAAGAAACAGAAAACGCTGACGTTTCCCAGAAGTAGTGGAAACTAATTAAGTACATTTATTGAAGTGCTGCAATTAAGTACAATTTCTGAATTACTTGTACTTTCCTTGAGTATTTCCTTTCTATGCTACTTTATATTTCCACTTCATTCATTTCTAAGGAAAATAATCTCTAGTAAAATTAGATCTAATAAATATCCACTCCATTTATTTGACAGCCTTAGTTACTTTGAGGATTTACACCACAAATCATTTACCAAGCCTTTCAAATATAGCACATTCCTGAAGTTTCAAACTGTGTTTTTCCAATAAAGTTGTTGTCTGATGTCGCATCAAAAGGCAACATGTAGTCAGCCTCACATTTCAGATGTCTGTGGGTTGTAAACAGCTCCACAAAATGGTGATTTTTTTTTCCCTTTAAGCGTCTTATGTGGCTTCATTTCAGTAAATGTTTAAATGATTCAATATCTCACCCAGAATCACTGATAAGAGAAGAAACTCAAAACAGATTTATATACTAGGACTTTGTTTTTTATTCACTCTCCCATAAATACATTATCTAACGAGCCCTCAGATTTATCTGCTGTCCTTGTATATAAAATGTAAAGTAGTTTGAATGAGTTGCAGCAGCCACAACAGTAACATGCTGTTGATACACTGTTGTCTCAGTATTAATAACCTAATTATATCACTTACAAAAATACCTCATCATGCTTATCGATGAAACATTTTAGTTGGAAACCTCAGTCTGACTACCTATAACATTAAAGCCATATAATTTTAACATTAAAGGTGAAGTCAACTGAAATTTAAAAAAAAAAATGTTTTGGAGAAGTGTCTCTTGAGTGAAGAACCTGGAGCAGCTTTCTAACCATAAATCTTTCCTGTTTCTTAGTTTACCTTCAATGGTGTACAGCACAGAGAAAAGATTTTCTGTTCAATAAGCTTATACAGCTTTTCATTGTTCCACTGACCAATAATTTCCTCATATTCAGCAGTAATTAGGTTTAAAGGACGTTTAAAGGACGTTGTAATACATGCATCTCGTGGCATTTCAAATTGTGATATGAGAAAAATATCAGATGTGATTTGGACGTCATGTAATGACGGCCGCATACCATTTAAATTTTGTCACTTCCAGGGTTGAGCTGCTTCAAGGGCTCACTGGTAAACCTAAATGGGATCAAAGCTTTTTATTTTATGTTATCCATCTAATATCCTAATTTTGGAGGCATTAGGTATGAAGTTACAAAACTCTTGACAAAACTTGTCAAAAGTGAGTGAATTTATCAAACTTATTGTAAAATGAAAAGATAGAGGACTTCCAGCTCTGGGATCAGGTGGTGGTTTGGCAGGTTTGTCTGGCGGCTCGTGGTCTCGTCGTGAGGTTTCGGGCTCCTGGTTTTGGGGTTGAGGCAGAGTGTGCAGCTTGGCACAGGGCTGCAGTGGGCTGTCAGGTTAGCCTGTGATGGATCGTCACTGATGGCGGAGCGAGTACAAAGACGCCTGTGTTGGACTCAGGGGTGCAGCGGGGAGGGGGTCTGCAGTGTGTCAGAGTCACTCATAACCCTCTGTCATCTTAACCCATTGTCAGCAGAACTAGAGAACTTGTGTGTGCCTCGTAGCAGCGTCGGGCTCAAACTTGTTTGAGGAACAAGTCCCCTCTCAGCATTTTTAAGTGAACACTTAAGATGCAGGACACCAGAGAAGATCTGGTGTTTACTGTTTGCAGATACTTCTGAATTCTGTCAGATTAAAACCAATGGAAGATGTAAACTAGAAACAGAATGAATCAAATTTTTACTCGTGACAGCTGTGATTGTAGCGAGATTGATATTTCTTGTTTTAGCTGTTTGTATCTTTCACTCACATGTTAGAAACAGCACAAATTAAAACACATTTTAATTAGTGATGCGCGATATTAAAATTTCTGTCCGATACCGATATCCGATATTAAGATTTTTGATATTACCAATAACCAATATTACCAATGTCAATATTCAATTTTTGTTCACATTGAAAAATGAGTATAAGTAAGCACTGTGAGAACGTGAAAACTATTTAAAAGAAGCGCATACCAAATTACACCACAGTCTTATTTATTGTGTAACAAAGGGAAAACTTATTTAAACATATTTGAACATATTTAAGTCCAGGAGCATTTCAGTAAGAACATCTGTGAAATAGCAGCAATATCAAATGTAGAGACGAAGGCGCGAATGTTAGACAAACATCGGTTTTTCACATCGACTAAATTTGTTCATCGGCCGATACGATATACAGGAAAAAACACTGAAGCGATGTGGTCGCCGATATATCGTGCATTCCTAATTTTAATACCTATAATCGTATTTGATTTTATTCTAACGTGCACATCTATTATAACATCTCAGAGAAACACAAAACAAACAGCAAAGATCCTTCAGTTTGCTGCATGGCAGTTCAAATCAGAAATAAGTGTGATTTTTAAAACTTAAAATCCAAATAATTTACAATGAAAAGTTTACACTCAAAAGTGTGTGTGGGTCCCCATGCGTGCATGTCTGTGTGTGCGCAGCAGGGATTGCCCTGTCACTGGCAACACTGCTCCACTTCTCCTCAGTGACAAGCAGCAGCACATTGCGGGACAGCTGAGCGTGGGGGAGCAGAGGGGAGGAAAGGATCAGCACTCTTCACCCCAGGTTAGCCTCAAGATCACCGCTGACCTGACCGCAGTCGGGAAATCTCAGATATGTAAGAGGAGAGAAACAAAACAGCAGTAAAGGAGTGTCGAGTAAAGGTGGATAAACCAGGACCTGCAACATGGGAGATACAGTATAAAATACAAGGAGACATGATTTAAACACACTTCAGTAGAATACATGTTCTGGTAGTGATTTATTTTCTGCGTGTCAATTTCTTAATAATTTCCTACAAGATTTTAAGGACATTAAATAAATAAACTGGTTGCAAATTATACATGTAGACCACTTTGAGACTGGAATTTGAGTTTAGTTAGTCGTGTTAACTTGGTAAGCAGTTTCAAGACAACACTTCATTAACAAACTACAATTCTAACTGGTAGAGATCTGAATCGTATGCTTTTTTTTTTGTGTGTAAACTTAATCCAGTAAAAAGAAGCCACTTTCATCATTAATTAGGAATATCTTGAAAATGTATTCCTTTATTTTACACGTTTTGTCTTGAAAACACACAATTTAATTAGTTCATCAACACTAAAAGCAGTTCCTTTACATCATTCATGTTTAAATCATAAAAGCTGGAGGTGAGTTAAATTTCATACATACAGGATGCACATAGCTGTGGTAGGAGTGGGGACAGAAATGGACATTTTAAGAGAAAAATAAACAGAAAAATGTTATTTAATATCTCTAAGTCTCAGTTCTGGGCCTAGAGTACATTGAGTTTCTTTTTTTTTCCTCCTGGAAAGCAATATTCTGTCTGAACTCGGGACTCATGCAACAATATTATGTACAAGTGCCTTTGGGAGAGAACATGGTCACCATAGTGACAGCAACAGATGCCCAATTCTGTCGTCTTAGAGACGGTTTCTACACCGTCGCCATGATAACTGCACATCCATTACTGAGCCCTTTGACATCAGATCTTCTCCTTCAGATTACAGTGATTTTTAGACCGACAACACAACATTAAGGGTGAAATATGACAAAGCAGTCGACTCCTCCTCGATAATCATCAGCCTGTACGACGACACAAAGAAAGCAAATCAATCACATATAAATTACAATAAGGAAACTGAATAGAGGCCATCAGATCTGATTACTACACAGCTGCGCCTCACTCTTTCTGTTGAGTAATGAACCTTACATAAGCTGCAGCGCTGTACCGTTTGACTGATGCCTAAAGGTGATGTGACACTACTACGGCCCGGCTGATCATCAGGAGAATACTCCCATTCATTCCTTGTTCAGAATGAAGTGCCCCACCTGTGTTTTCACAGGGCTCTGGAGGCCTGGAGAAAGCTTTCTAAGTCAGTGTGGGGGGAAACAGTAGTTCTGTAGCCCAGCCATGCTGCTGCTCACTGGGGCTTTTATCGCAGAGTAATCCCCTACAACAAACAGAATGGCCGGCATGTGCATATGCAGCTGTCGCAGTCTTAGTGCAAGTGGTGTCATGTTAAATCACAGGAATGGACTGAGCCCCTGAGCCATCCGCTGCCCTTCCCTTTGCTGGCATCCCACTCACTGAGAGGCTCCAGCACACAGACACAAACACACATACATGCTCATACCTACGTACATAACCCACTTCCCACTAACATACTTTGCAGCACATGGTACCCCCAAAGTTATTCACTGTAAATAACCTGTGCTCCACTGCTACAAGCAACCAGATTATTTACATGGCATACTGTATATTCCATTAATGCCACTGGCTGTGTGACACTCAGAGCAGGCAGGAAAACAAAAGAGCATCCATCTCTTTGAGAGGTGCCACTCTTCCTTCAGTTAATCAGGTATCTGACAGAGGAAAGCTTTCGCACTCATAAAGTCTATCCAGTTTAATTTGAAGGCAATTTACACCCTGACATCACCCAAGTGTAAACTGCAATCAGCATAGCTCCTCCGTCTGAGGCCAGCATCCGGAAACCATGTCCCGGTCCATGTCAGTCCAGCATTTCAGTATCATCTTCCATATCGGCCTTCCTGCCGCGGAAACAAGGAAAGACAAGCTCTGTTGTGTTTCTCCTCTTATCTCATCTTAATCTGTCACATCTCAGTCACCCCCCCTCCTTCCCTCTCTGTATCAATACCCTCATTTTTACATTCTCTGCCTTTACGCCTTTTTCCATATTCCTGTCTTTGTTTTTCTCCGGCTCCAATGACCTTCTCCCATGTCAGCGGTGGGACAAATTTAGCGGCCTGGTTTCTGGAGCGACCAAATAGTCGGACACAACAGAAGGAATGTGTGTGTGTGTGTGTGTGTAGGTGAGAAAGGAAAGGTCCTGGCAACACAGATACAGTTACAGACATCCAGACACACAACCAGAAGAAGGCAAAGGAGGGTAAACAGGCCGAGGCTCGCCGTCCTGGAGGTATGCAGACGAAGGACACAGGAAGAGAGTGACACAAAAATAGACACATCTGAGAATAAGCGCTGCATTTACAGGAACTATTAAAAAAAAAAAAACAATAAAACAATAAAAATGGTCAACAGAATGGAGCCAATAACTATTTTCCATCAAGGAAGTATTGCATACACCACAGAGGATAAAGAGAGAATGTGTTAAGTTATTCTGGGATGTTGGGATGGAGGTGCTGTCGCCATGGAAACATGTAGATCCCCTACCACTCCCCAGGCCATGCCATTCTGGAGCTGCCAAGCTCTGGGTGCCGTGTCACCAGGGGTGTTATGCCATTCTCCGTCTCTACGCTCTGTGACGCACCAGATGCCTCAGACAAAGCAGTATGCCATTCTTGAATTAGACACAGAGCGAGGGGAAGCGTTTCAGTATGGCTGCTACACACTGTGAATGCTGGAGTGCAAAAATCCAAACAACTCTCTCTCATTTAAGAGAAGTAAAAGGTCTTTACTGGAGAATTAACACTTCATGATATCATATATTTCCAGTCCTGCAGTTTAGAGTCGATAAAATTTCATTAATCCAGAAGGAAATTCTTTTGCCAGATCTTACTACAAAACAAAATTACATGAGAAATGCAGTGACTAATAGATTTGCACTACATGTTATGTGACACATCGCTTAAAAAAAACTATCAGCTAAAATAAGATTAAAATAGAAAAAGTTAACAAGCATGATTCTGAGGTAGTTTAAGTAATATGACAAGTGTACCTTTTGTCCACTACAATGATTTAATAGTTTAAAAATTAACATTTTACAAATCAAAACACACAACTTATGAGTTGTTTTTCTGACAGCATATTAAGTTAGAGCTTAATTGCTTTATTTTATTCTTAAACTGAATAGTCAACAATTTCTTAAAATATTTTTTTTCATCTATCCTCTTCTATGCTGAACAAACATTTCACGCTGTCAGTTTCTTAAATGAACTATATATAAGTTTCTCAAATCTCAATAAATTGAATGAGGTGTAGCCTGTTGGTTGGACAAAAGAAATCAATGAGTAAAGACTCATTTTGGCCGCTTATTAAAAATAAATAATACACAATTTCACAAAGTACTTATCCATAATGGAAATAACCTCCATTTGTTATTGAGCCGCGCTTTAACCAGTTACAGCAACAAAAGGATGTTTACACTTTAACACAATAATTTAATGCTGCTCTGTAAAGGATCTAAACACAACCAAGTAACTTTATCATTTTAAACCATTCTGTGTCATCAGTGCATATGTGGGTCTGTACTGATGCCTTATGTGATTTCAGAAGGAGGGCAGCTTACCAGGGGACTTTCCAGGGAATGTACCCTAATGAGTAATGAGTATCTAAATAACACCCTGGGGTAAAATAGCTGCAGTATTTATGCGCTGGTTAGATACCACGCAGCGCTACAGCATCATACGCTGTAGAGGGCAGAGTGTCTGCCCCACTTCTCAAGAACAGGACCAAAATAAGGCGGACGCAAGCAGGCAGCAGCGGAACAGTGAGTAAGCAGAGGACAGTCGCAGGTGCTGGAGCTCGGTCAAGAAGGAGAAGACACATGACAGCTGGCCTGTCACACAATGACTTATTCTTCAGCCAACACACACTTTACCAGCGGTTACTGTACATCAACTGTCCTTCTGGTGAGCAAGTGAACAAAAACAAAAAACAAAACAATTAACTCTCAATTCTTTATTGCTTAACAAAACAATATATATTTATTCCATGACAAGTAGAAAAAAATAACTACAATAGCTGTACCATGTTTGAGCACATTATAGTAATAATATCAGTCATTGCCACAACAAAGTCTGTCAGTCGCAACCAGCATCACTGGTATAATACATATTATGCCATTTACATGAGGTCTGTATCTAGTCGAAGTTGCACAACGATGCCGATAAATACAACAGGCTACATTACTGTTTTATAGCTTTTACATGGCTAGTATAGCTCTCAAACCAGCTCAGTGCTGGCTGTAGTCACAACAAGAGGCATGCTCTATATATGCATTACATGGTATTACTGGTACTGTACAGTTTCTGTGGGCAACAGCTACAAGACTGAAACTTCTCTCCACCTGCTGGCAGAACGATTAAGCGCAAGTAAACAGCAGATCAAAGAACTATGATATACCCTCTACACTAAGCAGAGCCAAGAGTTAAATGCCTACCGTCACTGGACATCATACTTGTGAGAATTATATAGTGCATACTGTATTTATTTGTAGACAGCTCACACGCTCATTCAAAAGAAATAACATCGATGTGGTCCAGCGATAGAATCTTCAGATGACGCAGAATCATCAAAATAAAATCTATAATATACAAATTTAAGCTCAAAATCATTACATGGCAGTGTAACGCTTAAATCAAACCCCTAACTCTCGATAAGTACTGCGCAGTACTGAGGGTACGTGTGGTAACTCAGCCTGTTGTCTCTCCGTCTTTTAATAAATTGCAAATGTAAATCACACAACAGAACAATGTAACAAGTGCAGCCTTTTTTCTGCTTCATAGGAGGTGGTCACAATTAAAACTGAATCATAAATAAGTTAAATACAAAATATACAGAAATTGTTCATTCATCCTAAGTTTAGGAACGGATGTAAAGCATCCTTTTTGATTGATGATATTTAAACATGAACTGACAATGATGACGTAACATACTGCAGGCTTAGCTGTTATTGGCAATTGTAAATATTGAATACATATCTTCGTCAAATTACCAGATAAAATACAGTTAATACTTCAGCTGTGCATTCTCGAGCAGGTTAAATTTAACTCTACATTTTAAAATACCATTTAGAGAGAAACAGGACTTAAGCCACCACCTTTGTATTTTAGAATACATTCACTTACGCTGAGAGAACATGCTTCTTTAAAAAAAAGAAAGAAAAGAAAAACGTAGAACATTTTCAATAATCTGCAGCTGCTGAAAACAAAGTTATAGTTTTTAAGACGTGCTTGCCTTTTTCTTCCTTCAATCTTGTCTTCATAACTTAAATCTCTGTTGCACAATACCTGGGGAGATGCAGAGGGAAAAAAATAAAGAACAAAACAGCCTCAAGGATGTCTAAAGAAAATCTGTCGTAGCAACATACCTGCAGTGATTTATCCATTTTTTTCTCCAGTTGATGAATGAAGGGAATCTATGGAGAAAGAAAATCAAACAAAACGAACACAACAAGGGGAGAAACACTCCATCTTAAATGCCACCGCACAACAATATGCAATGCAAGAAACCCATAAACAATGAAAAAATTCACACAGCCTGAAAAAACAAGCCTTCATGAGACCGTATAGAAGCTCACACCAACTGTGCACTCCTATGTGATCTTTAAATAAATAAATAAATACTTCTGCCTTTGTATGTCCCTTATTTAAATGTGGCACCAACACGAACATTTGGTTTGACAGACTCTTGTGTCCAAGGTTTTATCTAGCAATACTTCAGAGGCAGTGTGACGCAAAAAAACAAAACAAAACCATGCAACCAAGAGCAAGCTTCACCAAGTGCTATATTTTGTGTACATCTCTGTAGATTTTAAGTGTAGGTAAGGTGCACGGTTTGTGTGTGTGTGTGTAGAGACAGTGTCTATGAGCATGCAACTGTATGGTTTAATGTGTTTTGAATGTTTGTGTTGTATTTCTTGTTGTTTAGGTCCCTAGAGGCGTACAGATAGGTGTGTGTGCTTATTAGAGAATGAATATCTTAATAACTTTTTGAATGATTTTTCCACACCCTGGACAAGGGGCCTGGAACTTGTGTAGCCTCCTTGCGCAGGGGAAACAAGTGAGCAGGTGAGCTGTACGTCCGTGTATGATATTTCCATTACGTGGTCGCACTCTGCAGAGCTTGCAAGGTTCTAACAGTGCCTCAGGCCTCACGTCTTCAACCTCCATGCCCAGATTTTCCTGACTCTCCCCTCCTGAGAGCTGCTCATCCTTGTGGAAGCCGGAGGGCCGAGGCCCCTTGCCTTTCCCCATAACCATGGGAGGCAAGGGTCTGTCAGCGGTGGAGTGGGAAGGCAGGATGACAGGATCAGACACCGTCCTGCTGCAGTCTGGGACATCGATGCCTGTGTCGCTGTCATCTTCCTCATCGTGGGCAATGAGAGAGCTGCATGCTGGGATGTCAGGAACAGAGAGGGAATGGGCGAGTCGAGGGACATCTTTGTACCAGTTCTTACGTAGAGCCCAGCAGCGAACACAGTACCTCTGGAGAGGTATGTTATATTTCCGGCACTCTGTGCACTGCCAAGCATCCTGAGAAAAAAAAGCAGATACAAAGTCACATGTCTGGTTGGTAATTTTAATCAGCAACGCCAAACACCTAAACATCAGAGAAACAGACCTGTGTGGAGATCTCTGTGTCGGTGTCATCACTCAGACACTGGGAGTCTTCATCTGGCTCCTCCTGCATCTAAATAAACATAGAAGACATCTAATCACATCATTCTCACACTTGATGGTGAAACACCTCCTGCTCAGAAACAACATTTTGAATGAATCATTAATCAGAATAATGACACAGTTGAAGCAATTCAAACAACATAAAGCTAAAACTATTTTTTGGAGGTATGAGCATGCTTAAGTGGAACCACTACAGACAACGTAGTAAACTCCTACCTCTCGATCTGTCTTCTCCTCCTTCCCTCCTCCGTCGTCATCCTCAAGAGGAGCCTCTCCGTCTCCTCCACTCCCTTCTTCCAGGGCAGCCTCCTTCATCTCCACGCTCACCTGTTCACTCTCTCCCTCGGTCAGGAACCAGAGGTCATCGGTGGTGTCCGACACGATGGCCGTGTCCTCTTCCTGTGCAGGAGACAACTGACACATCAGTCAGACCACCACTGTTACGTTCCAATTTATGTCATTTGCCAACAAGTAATTGTGACTGTTTTTAGCTTCAACCCTCCCAAATTGGCTCAGTTTCACTCAATCAGAATATTACTGAGAGGACTTCCAAACGACACGTGAGGTTTCTTACTTGGTTTGTGTGGATGTCAGTGGAACCGTTGCTCCTACGACTGTAGTTATTACGAAGATTACCCAGAAACCACCAGGGCAGGCCAGAGAGGTCCCACTCGTCCAGAGTAACGTCCAGCTTGGGTCGCTTGCAGGCTGAGCGTGGCAGGCCTTCAAGAGAGTCTGAGGAGGTTTTCAACAAGTAAATTCAGCCTTTTGGCACAAATCTGGCCTGAGCATAGTGCTAAGTATACAACAGTTTGCTTACCATCGTCTGGCTCCCGAGGTCGTCTCTGGGAGGGGGTTTGCAGGAGAGGCCCACCAGCCTCCATCCCTGCTTTGACCACACCTCCACACATCTACAGAGGGGGAGAGGTGAAGGACAAAAATTAGAACACCGAGCCTTGACTGGGTACTTGGAGGACTCGCAGTTCCTGTTCAAAACGGCCTCTGGGCGCGAGGTGGTGGAACAAGGGAAACAAGGGGCTGGGCAATTAGGGTACGGGCTAGTGGGGAGGGAGGTCAAAACAATTTAGAATATAACTGGGCACTGAAACAGTGAGTAACACAAAAAAGATGAGAAAGAGTAAGTAGGAAATCCAGTGCACTAGTTACCATGTGAATAAATGTGCATATTCTCAGAGTCCAGTACAGCTCTAAGTGGGACTGTATTTATTCTAAAGTAATCTCTGTCTCCTAAACACAAAATAGGAAGACAGAAAATGAATGGTATCTACGACATAAAACAAAAACTGTCTCATATTAAAAGTGTGCACATTCTTTGAGGGAAAGAAACAAGAGACAGACAGAAGGTTTTAGTTTTTAAGTGTTCATTCCCCATCTGCCAGTGAAAACTATTAATTTATCACAGCATAAAAAAAAGAGGAAATTTGAGAACAAAATTACAAGTGTAATCAAATCTAGAAATTGATAGCACCCTGCAGAGGAATTAGCACATGCAGCAACTGAAAATACAGCGATTCCATTCATTAAAAGAGACAAAAATCTGACTGCAGCTAAAAAAATAAATAAATAAAAATGTTGAGGCAGATTGTATTATATACAGGGCACAGAGTCAGCTCTTTAAAAAAAAAAAGGATTTTGGAGGGAATCGGAAAGAAGGGTGTAGGTACACAGGGAAAGGTGAGAGGTTCAGGGTCATCATTCAGCCTGGGGGTGATCAGGAGCTGCGATCCTCCAGTTCGAAGCAGAGAAGAGAACTCTGAGACAGACAGAGACAGTGACTCTGCCCCCCCATCCACTGGGTGGAGCTGGTGGGTCACGACAGAGTGCTGAAAAGCCCACCAGACCAAACCAAGGATGGGGTTGTACAGAGACGGTGCCACTCTGTACAAATGCACACCAACGAAGACAGCAGCCATTACCTCCTCCTCCCAGGTACACACAAGCCAACAGGAGCTCACTTTATAGACACTCCTAGTGGACTTAGATTTAAGTAATTGTTTCCTTTGCTTAAAATAAAAAGCATTATTGTTTGAGCAGCTGTGCTCTCAGGCTGCCTGTCCTGTCCCTAAGGGTTGTGTGTACCGGGGTGATACAGGCTGAGGGTCTCTGTTTCTTCTGAGCACCATGCTTCGGCTTTACCTGACCACGATCCTCCACTCCGCCCTCAACACATTCACGGCCCACAGAAAGATTCTCTGCAGCGTCTGCATTTCAGATAAAACACAGTAACAGAAAAAGAACACCCCCCCTTTAATTAAGCATCACACACACTCTCACTAAGGCCTTTCTTCTGTGGATGTGAAGAACAAACTGTCCTGGGACTAAACAGAATCCCCAAGAGATGTACAAACTGTCACAAGCACTCACAAAGTTTGTAAGAAGAAAGATTGTTCCAGAATATACGTAAGGAATATGAGGGCAAGACAGTGACGGTGTTCCCACAAACCTTCACTTTAAAACATGCTAAGATATAAAAGAAACATCTATGACAAAGGGCAGAGGAAGAGACATGGTTGAATTTCAAAACAAATGCACAATGTTCTGTCGACATAAAGTGAATTCCCAAATTGGACGGTACTTGCTGGTTCCACCTGATGAAAACATGATTTCACACAAAATTGTACAACAAGAATTTGCACCATTTCTCGAAAGAATCACTTACCAGCACAACCGAGCACAACCAAGTACTTCTTGAGCATTTCATACACTGGGCTGTAAAATAAAAATATAGAAGTTTAGATTGTACTGCCTTAATTGAGATGAGCATTACCGAGCATGAACAGGAGGTCCATTTTTTCCCCCCACATACCTTGGGTTTTTCACAGAGAAGCTCTCCACTTCCAGCAGCTCTCCCAAAGGATCATCCTGGCAGTGGACTATGTGCTGCCTCTGTTTGTCATACAGTTGCTTCCCCATGATGTATTGACCCAAGTAGTGCATCACCTAAACAAGCCAGTGGATGTTAGATGTTACAAGGCACCCACAGGGAACACTTTTACCAATAGGAACCAACTATAAAGAATCTCTGGAATAACCACTTTTCAGGTAGCACCTTGTTGAGCAAGGCTGCAAGGACAAACATTTCAGCTGTTAGCTCACCTCTTTGAGTGTGAAGACATCTTCCTGGGCTCCAGCAACTCGCAGAATTTGCAGGAGAGGAGCCTTTGGTTGCACCTGGGTGGACAGAAGTGCAATAGTTTAGCATCAAATATGGATTGCACATGAATCCTACATGTGCGTAGTTTTTGCTGTAGATTATACCTGATTTCCTTCTCCGGGTAGCGTCCTGCATGATGAGCCTGAAGCTGGAGGTTGGGCTGATAGGGAGCTCATAGTAAACAAACGAAGTCTGAAATCCAAAAATTAAAACATGCAATTTAAAGCACTTCTCTAATTCCCGATGAATCACACCATCTAGCTACCGAGTTATGTACTTCCAATGTTACACGTAATACCAACGCCCACGCACAGCTTCATAATGTCAAATTATAGTTAGTTAAGAATATTTGTGAAATCTAAATCGTGCAACAACGAGGCTGCGTCAGCTTCGTAATGTGAAGAACCGTTGGCCTAATTTGCTGGAAGCTGCACAGCCTGCGAAAAACCAGGCTACCAGGCAGCTGCACGGAAAGTCGTTCCACCAGCCCACCCTTACTTTTGCTTTTACTTATTGTCTTCACACAGCAAGGCCACTGTAGCCGAGCTAACGCTTTGCAAACAACCGTGCCACCATAAAACACAAAAAATGCACTATTTCATGTGTCGCCGTCTGACACAAATGTGAACTGGGACACCGCTACACAACTTTGGCAGGTGCAAAATCTGCTAGCATTACTAGCAAACGTGTTAGCCAACGGCGCTAACGTTAGCTAACTTCGGTTAGCTAACTGCTAAACAGTACGTTCGTTAAACATATTATCTCACCGTGAGGAGTTGACATTACTTCGCAGCTGCTACATATTTTCATATGCACTGTTGCCTTAACAGCTAGCCCGCATCTTATAAATGTACGGCTCAGTAAACGTAAGCTTTCCAACACAAGCTAACAGGCAGGAGACAGTTAGCTACACAAGAGATTCAAAACGATGAATATGGCTTCACAACTTCCGGAAACAGAGCGAGAGTGTGGCGCCACCTGCTGTTTGACAAAAAAAAGCGGAACATCGGCGTTCACAGTCAAAGCACGAATTCGTTTTAGAATAAAGAGTTTGGACATATACTGGGCCTGAGAACAGTTTCAGGTAAATTAGCTTGAAGCTTCCTCCACTTAAATATTAGCAGCACTTCATGAAACGTTATGTTTGGCTCCAGAGCAGACACTGTGGGCTCATTTTGACTCACATACAAAATGCAGCATTGTTTCTGAATAATGTTTAAAGACATGCAAAGCTCTGTTAGACTTAAGCATGAATGCTTTCTAATAAGACATCATTTATTGTTGTCATTATTTCTTTATTTTACACCTTCACTTCACTTTACGGTCACCCCAACAGGTGGAGGTAGGGTCTTGTGTGTTGGGGTGACCCTTGTTGTCTACGGTGTTGACCTTAATTTTCATTTTTTTAAAATTAGTCAGCTAAGTCAGTCAGCTAGAGTTTATGACACTTAATATTCTTTTTAGTCAGGTAAATTTGTACTTTTACTCACCTATTCATAATATTTAAATTAGGGATGCACGATATATGGGTGACCACATCAGTATTGGCCAATATTAGTGTTTTTTCCCATGTACCGGTATCGGTCCGATAAATACATTTAGCTTATGTGAAAAAAAACGATGATTTTCTAACATTAGCGCCTTCATCTTTACATTTGATATTGCTGCTATTTCACAGATGTTTTTACTTAAATGGTCCTGGACTTGAATATTAAATATGTTAAAATATATTTAAAAACATGATACTTTTGCTATGTGATAAAGACTATGTGGTCTAATATGGTATGGGCTTCTTCTGAACAGTTTTCACGTCCTCACAGTGCTTATTTATACTCATTTTTCGGTGTGAACAAAAATTGAATATTGACATCAGTAATATCGGTTATTGGTGATATGAGAAATTGTAATATCGGCATCGGCCAGAAATTTTAATATGGTGCATCACTAGTAATAACCTCATTCTGAATGTTGGTAATGCATTTATAAATACTTAGACCAGAACAGAATAATTCTGGTCCAGAAGTTATTCATTTGACCCAATTGTGCACCTTATCAAAATTAAGTGAATAGTGAATAGCTAATATAAGTATTTTAAATAAGCAGCCGACTGACACCTCTATTTTTAAATATTTTTCATCACTGTCTATTTATGACCTTGACCAACTCATTCATGATGTAAGGCCAGTTGAAATAGTTTTAACTAACCAATCCAACAATACTAAAACATCAAAACACGCCTTTACAATGGCTACTTCTGCCTAAGTATTCAAGTACGTTATATTTTGCTACGTACAGACTTGATGTAATTTTCTTTACATTACTTTGAACTGATTTCATTTCTTTTGTAGGAATTGTGCATTAACAAAACCCACACAAGTCAACAGATGTAAAAGAGATAGTGTTATTTCATTCCATAAATGCAAACATTGTTATAAAATATCTGTGCTACAGAACAGTTTAAATCAGAGAAACTCATCTCCGATATCCTAGCAAACAGTCAAGAAAACAAGATGGAGAGAATGTCACAACTCATGGCCCCAATATTTTACAAAACGCAGATGTACAAGGAGTACAACAAATGCAACATTTTCACAGATCTGTAGATACAGTGCAAAAATAAATCATTGAATCCAGTCAATAGCTGGGTTTGCTCTTACTGACAGTTGAGTAAATTAAGAAGCATCAAGCACATGAATTTGCTGTCGTATCTGACAAAGTCCACCCAACAGTCCTTGAGAATATGCCTCGATTCTAGGCCAGCTTATTACAGTAGCTTATTCGCTGGGATATTATTGCCTCTGCTGGAGAACATAAGCACTAGATATAAGCCCTGCATGTGTGTCAAACGTTACAGTTCTTTCATCGCAGATAACAGAAATGGTACCAAGCCAACATCCCAACTAAACAATTCATATAACACAGAAAAGTGTCTCCTGGGAAACAGATGTAATTCAGTTAATTTAATAAAATATAAGCTCTTTATGGGCACCAGACACATTAATCTGACAAATATACTGTTACTGTGAACACTTTGTAACATCAGTGAGATTATGTATTTGAGTTGCACCAATATCAGTATCAACATGATCACAGAATAGTTTGTGCTTCATTACTTTTGATGACTATACCTGCATCCGCATTAAGATCATCAAATAAATGCATATGGGTATTTGCTGAAACAGGAAATATCAGCCAAATGCAAACAAAAAACAAGAAACAGAAACAAACTGGTGCATCCTGTTAAGCAAAAAAAAATATGTGAAAGTTCAAGTAAAGGGTTTGAGTTAGCATTATCTTCCCACTCATATAATGCTGGGCTAAGGATCGGTTTCACCTTTACAACCCCATCTCTAAAATTAGAAAAACAGTCAAAGTGCTTTGGCAATAATTCAAGTCTTTCATTTTCACCACACATACAGGAGAGTCAAAGATATTGGCTGCATTAAGCTGCACTGTATTTTAAAAAAAAAATTCTACATTTTATAGCTTCACAATAATGACAGGCCCTTTAAACATTTATGTCCAAAGTTTCACCAGGCACCTAAAATGAAGACTGCCATCTTTTGTTACTGCTCTTGGTGGCTAATATACTGATCAGACTGTTAAAACTGTGCAATTTCTGTTGTCATTGTGTACATACTGCTGTATTTGTATTTGTCTGTAGGTATATATGTATTCCTCATGAGAAATTCAATATTTAAAAATATTAATTGGATGAAAACTCTGTTCACTTGGCTTTAATGCTTAACTGTTTGCTGATAATCAGGATTTTCTTACATAAAGAAGCCGGCTTTAGTCACCACCAAAGGAAAAGTGACAAAATGACAATGAATAATAATAATACAATTTTTAAGAACCTCTTTCGTGAATTAAGACTTAATTTACTCAAGCATAATCAACATGTTTGCTTGTGAGATGGTCAGAAATCGCAGCAAAATGCACAGATTTCTGTCAAATAAGGTAACAGAGACTCATCGCCTTTTTCTGTACCCAGAAAGATTGTGCTTATTTTTCATAAGCACACTCTTGTGTAGTCACTCTGCAAAAGGCCTATTCTGAGCCAGGAAAACACCTAATAATAGGTACAAGTTCTTTTAAAATTAGCATTTCTATTTTAAATTTGCAACTATCTATAAAGCGTTTGTACTTGTTTTAAATCTTCTGGTTACTTGTTTATCAGTTTGTCAGTGGCCCAACAAGTAAAATGACAAACGACAACCACCTCGGCATCAATAACAAAACTGGATAGCTGAAATATGTGCTACAATTAGACTAAGCCAATTTTTCAAACTGATGTAAATAATTCTTATCTGAATCGTTTTTAGAGTTTCGTTTGGAGTGTATCATCTAAAGTGCACCGCCTGAAGAGATGCTGTTAATATTCTGGTCAGTTTTTACCTGGGAACAGTGACCAGAAATATTAAAAAAAGAGGTGCTGCTGGTCACAGTAGTTGCTATGAAACTGTAAAATTTTCATTTCAAGACAACCTGTTGCTAGTTCCTAATTTTAGTGACTGGTGAAACTGATAAAAAAATAAACATTTAAGCGGCCCACCATGCACAACAGGACTGTATCTTGCAAGTTTCAAATTTACAAACACTACTTAACTGACAGCAGGCAAAAACTCTGAGCTAAAATACTGATAAGTTTCTGTGTTCTGTTGCTTGGCTGTTCCCTAAACGCTCAATAACACATTCTGTATATCCAAGTTGCAGCGTCTGTGTCGTGCCTCTGCAGTTCGTGGCCGTCTCTTCTCGGGTCAGCGTGAAAGGAATCATACAGAGCGCAACAGGGCACATATTCACACTCAACGGTCTTTACAGAACTTTCTGTGACAGAGAAAACAAAAGCACTCCAGGAGTCCAGAAGCTTTCTTCTGTTCTGCGCTGGGTCTTGGTCTGTCCCCCCCCCTCCTCCCCAAACCACCACCACCACCACCACCAACTGTCTGTGGGAGCCTCAACTGGTACAAGGAAGCAATATAATAAGTGCCCCGCTGCTGCTGAGTCTTCCAGCCACCAGGGGATAGCAAGAAGTGAGAAGCAGATGTTAATCAGCATGTGGGAGCAACAGGAATGCCCAGGCATCATGAAAGACTGCATTAAATTTAGTCTTGAAGAGCCTTTAAGTGGGGAGAAAATCTTATTCTAAGAGGTCCTATGAGGAGACACAAACAATAGAATTAATAGGTAATCAAAACTTGTAACAAAAAAACAGGGCCTTTTAAACAGCATCACATACCTGATCTGAATCTTCATTGTACTGTGCTTTTCCTGTCTCCATGTAGTGGGTGTCAACATCATCTACTCCCTCTATTTTGTTAGCTTCGACATGCTCTCTCATGACGGAGTATCGGTGCACAAGGAACCTGATGAAAACATGCCAGTGGATGTTAGAGGTGAAGTGTGCGCAGTGTTTATGGTTGTAGGCGGCAAGATGAAAAAAAGGTTAACTGACCGTCCTCCGCAGACGTATTTCTTAACCAGCCAAACACCTGTGACGGCACTCATCAGGAGGATCGCTATGACAACCATCACTATGACAGCAGTGTTTGTTGAACCGTTTTCACTCTGTTATTTCCAGAGATGGAAAGAGAAAAGGTTGAAAATGTGAAGAAATAACACCACATTGATCACATGAAGAGGTTTTTCACATTTGATGTCCCTCAGCTGTAAATGCATTCACACATTGGAGAATTATTTGGATAATTAGGGCAAGGATGGGGTACCATTACTTAAAAAAGATACTGAGCTTATCCTACTGAACAATGAAACACTATGCTCGTATAAACAATCATGACCATACTGGTATTGCTCAGATCAGCTGAGCTTGGTAAGTGTGTTTCATCCATGTGCATTTGCAATTTGTACATTAATAAACCAGAGTGGAAAGTAAAGGTAGGACATTAAAAAATAGACAAAACATTGCAAAAACTGGCGACCTGTCCAGGGTGTCCCCTGCCTTCGCCCTAAGTCAGCTGGGATAGACTCCAGCCCCCCATGACCCTAATGAGGATTAAGTGGTGTATAGATAATGGATAGATGGATATAGATCTTATAAATTACAACATAGATGAGGCACGTAACTTATAGCCGTAAAGGTGAAGTATTGTGGCCACAACATCGTCAGATCTGTGTGGGTCGATGATGAGACTGTAAAGTTTCTGGGCATTTTGTACTCCTGAGAGAACTCATAAATGTTTTTTCAGCAGTATGACAATGTTACAATGTCATAAGTTATTGTAAGAAAAAGAAAGACAAATTATTCATTAATTTTACCAAAAAATGGAAAAAACCTGGATGCACAACATTTTTTTTACCACCCACAGGTGTTACTAATACTGGAAATAATATGATGTCTCTATATGGTATAAATATTTGACCACTACAACTTGCTGAACATGCTTCATATATTTGATCGATCAAGTCAAGCGGGTTTCATTTTGCTATCAATCTCAGTTTGTTTCCATATCTGTCCCCTATATGTGACTACATGCAGCACAGTCACTCATCTTCTCTATTTTTTTCTTTCTTTCTTTTTTTTTTTTACAGAGTTTGTTTATTGCAAATGCTTTATTTTTTGGCATTTAAATGCAACATGTAGAACATAGTGATTTAGACAGAACATAAATATTCAACCTAGATTTGGTTAATTATCCTGACAGAACCACACATCACACATGATGAGTTTGAAGGAGGGTCATAAAGTTGAAATTCTTTAACTGTTTCCGGCTCTGCTTTATGTGGCTATTTTTTACATTTGGCCTTCAGTAATGTGCAATTCAATGTTTCCAACTCGAAATATTTTAGTAGTGGATGGAGATTTTCTTCAAATTTTATTTAAAAAATTGCAATATATTTGGCTAGAAGCTTGGCTCATCACACGATGCTACAGGATAATCCACTGATTTTTTTACGATACACCAAAATGCAGACAGATAATGTTGTACTGTGTATCTATACCTAACTTGTCTGTTTTTAATCATAAGCTGAACTGACCAGAGAATTGGGATAAAGGGCGTTACTGATGCACATCCTCCTCAAGTCCGTCTCCTTTCTGTCTGGCTGGAAGCCTCCTTCACACTGGTCTCCTGGAATCTTCCGGTAGCTGAAATGTAAGCAGAGACAGAAAGACATGAAAGGCAGGGGAAAAAAATCTTCAAAAAGAACACAGCACAATACAGCTGATAAACTAAAGATATGATTCATATCACTAAGGAAGTGAGATTTAAAAGCACAAGAGTTGCAGAAACAAAAACATACAGCACTAACTGGTCAGTACAGCCTGTCTATTAGCATGGACATGGGGGGTAGGGTCGTTGGGGGGCTGCAGTACGCTCTGCAATTAGGCATTGGGTTAGGGTTAAATGATGTTAAATGATCTGGGGAAGGCTTTTTCCACATCTCACCACCAATATTGGCCAAACAAATATCACAGAGAGCGCAAAAGACAGCTTGCGTGCCAAAACTGCAGAACACCTTTCTCATTCGCTTTGCCCTACAATTTCACATCTGTTACCAAATGAAATGGCCATAAAAATAAACCTTTAACTGGTCAGCTGGGTTTTGACAAAATGATAACAGGACCTGAAGCTTAGTTTGTTGCTGCCAGCTGTTTGTAGGAGGAAGGAATTACATACTTGCAGGATTCAAAGCGAGACTGTTTTGCATATTTACGTATAGCAACAGCAGTAACTTAATTAATTACTTACAAATATAAATGATTCTTGACATGGAGACAGGATTAGACAGGATTTAATGGTAAGTCACACTGCGTGCTCTTCTCCACTTCAGACAGCAGTGATCACACAGTTTCTTCCACATTAAATTTCCATGCCATCTTTTGTTTATTAGTGCATTATCATATACCAGATATTGCATGTGTGACTAATACTGCACACATACCATGACTCTCTCTGTCACTGTAGTATTTAGATCTGCTCAAAAGTGACCTTTCTCTGAATGACGGAATGCTGTCAATTTAACATACCAGTGAAGCCAGCAGTGGTATGTATGCCATGTCTGGAAAGGGTTTATGTAGTGGGTGTGAAGTCTACATGTCATATGTAAGGTAACTCTAAAGTCTTGTGTTTATTGTCCTATGTCTGATATGTGTGAGTGCATCTCATTTTGCCTGACACCAGTATAAAATAAGTACATGATTTGCCATATATCGCGGTTTTAGAATTTATTGTGTTTAGTGAGTTTCTTGGCAAAAATCCCAAACATCCTCACCCACTGGTCTGCAGCTGCTCAGTGGTCCCGTTTAAACAGAACTCCAAAGGACGGCCTTTCATCTCCTCTTGCTCCACACACTCAGAGCTGTTCTCCGGCCGGTAATACCCAAAGTCACTGCAAGACGAAACAGAAATGTACTTCTTTATGTAAATGTTTGGGCACCGAAAAGTAAATACAATGCTGTAGCAAACGGACAGTAATGAGGAGCCTTTATTCAACATTACTGAACTGTTACTTTTGATTTCATGAACCTAAAATCTGAATAAACACTAATTGTGACAAGTTCAGAGTTGTTTTTTTGTTTTTTAATGTCCATTTGCTGCAGGGGTTGTTTTTGCTTCTTTTGATGAAACAACTAAATATGCAGTTTGCCCAGGGGTCCCCAAGCTTTTATATCCACGTTTGCATTCTGTAAGGAAAATCCAACTTATTTCAAACTGCTGATAGAACCAGTGACGGGTTGTAGAAGAAAAAAGTATTAAAAGAGAAGGTCATGCATGGCCTCTTGGCGTTTGTACAAATTTAACGACACAAACTGTAAAATATTCTTGCGTTAAAATTAAAACCTTTTTTGTCTCTCGTAAGGAAAATGCATTGTACTGCTCTTGTCCTAAAATTCCACTAAAAACCATTAGATAAACAAAAAAAATGCATATTTGTGCAGTCTAGTGAATATACTACATGCAAGAAATGACAATCTATTATGATATTTCATATTTTTACATGAAAGGACGTGGAAGAAATGCATACCAGTGATAATCATCAACTGTACACGGACAGGGGGACAGCTTCTTAGTGACTGCGTAGTCCCTCCCGTTCCAGCAGACAGAGTCTTTCCTCAGGCGTAAAAAGGTCTCTTTATAGCCCAGCACACAGCCATCATTAGATCCGCTGGGGTCTGCAGAGTGAGCCAGCCACTGCACGTAGTCTCCTTCATTACCTGTGCAAGCACATGTGCTAAGTAAAAACACACTCCCCATAAAAAGCCATCAAACATCTTTTCCCACATACTCACAGTCTCTGGTGAGGAGCTTCCTGAAGTCTATCGTGATCACCACCCATTTACTGAAGTCGTTCCTGTAGCCCCACAGGCTGACGTTCATGGAGCGAGAGCCGGGTTCGCTGTCCATGCCGCTGAAGTGAAGCGGGTCGCTGGTGAAGTTATATGTATGCCAGCACTGCCCTTCATCTGTTGAAAACCTAAAGGGTGTAGGGAGAAGACCCAAAAAGCAAAAAACTAACTGAAAGAGTGTTGCATAATAAATGTAACTACAAAACTCAATTAATTCTACACTTAAATATGAGTTAAATACATGAGTTATTCTGACTTTATCTGGTTGACCGGTGAGTTGGTGTGCTCCATGGCGACTAGCAGGCCTCCAGAGTCCAGGATGGCGTAGTGATGGGGTCCTCTAAGGGCCAACAGCCACGAGTAGCCGCCATCATCAGACACGTACACATCAGGAGAGAGAGCTGACTCTGCATCTCCAACGCTGCCTGGAGGGAGATAGGGAGACGGTTTAAATAAGCATTCAGTAAAATGATTGTGTTAAAAGATCCTTGTGTGTGTTTGTGTGTTTTACCGTGGGCCAGGACGAGGCCCACTGCGTTGGGCTGAGAGAGAGGGAGCATGGGGACGTTCATCCTCATGGTGGTGCTGTAGGAGGCGTGGATGTGAAGTCTGCACTATAGACGCAAAAAAAAGGTGCGTTAAGGCTTTTGTACCCTTCATTTACATGGGATGTTTAATATCTGGGGCTGTTTAATTTATGTCAGTCATAAAACCTCACAGTAAAGCAAAAAAAATAAAAAATCATAAGAAGATAAACATATATATTTGTGCGTCTCACTCTGTTTGGTCTGTTGGTGGAGGTGTCAGTACTACAGTGGCTGTTCTGTGGTCTGCGCAGCGTCTCCCACATTGCTCCTTGGTCATATGTGATCACTGTCTCCACTGCACCGTCTGCAAAAACAAAAGAATGGAAAGTCTGTAACTTTCACTTCAGTTACCATCAAGGTCGCCGTAGATACTTTGCATCTGTAGCCCCAATAACATATCAGCTTTACCCTTCTCCTACCAATAATCCAAAGCATTTCACACGTTTCTAGATAAATATCCTGCCTTCTCAGCAGCAAATCATTTGAGTTTATTTTACTATGTTATGGAAATTAAACCTAATCTATCTAAATTTTGCTTGACAAAAGTAACCAATCTCAGTTTGTATTAACTTTGCTGCATTTTTTTTAATACTTAAAGGATTAGACAGGAATCTTTAAGGGGGTCTTGATGGTGCATTCACCCTGGCATTGATGTTGACTGCAAAAAAGATGCTGAATTCACAAGAAAGAAAATCAAACATCACAGAAAAAACAATGTCCATTTTGTAGTTGCTGGTCAAGAGCTGACTCATTCTTTCATGCTGGAGTTTCCCCGCTGGTGAAGAAAAGCAGTAAGAATGGAAAGTCCCTGCTTGCAACTGCGATACTATAAAAAATAATATAACTTTTAACCTACATCTGACTAAAACACATGCAATTAAATGTTCATCATTACGGTGTTCTGGTGGACAGTAGAGCAAGGTACAGGCTGTTGACCTTGTTTAGTTTAGGATCTTTAGGATCACATGCAATGTATTTGCAGCGTTTCCTAATACAGTTAATGAAGAAGAAACATGTAGGCGCATAATAGACCGTGTGTTAACCAACCCTCTGTGAGTACGCTGGTCATGTAGACGCCCCTGAGTGAAGTAATGGCAGTGAAGTCAGTGTCACTTCCCGTGGTTGTGTAGAGATGGCGCTCCAGAGACTTGGAGAACACAGTTCCTCTGTCATCTGACACATAGATGGTTCCAACACCAGAGTCTGCTCCACACAGTGCACAGACACACACACAAAAGCAAAGAGCAGATGGTTTTGGATTGTACGCTGTGATACATTTACTGATCTCCAAGGAGCAGTTTATTGCAGCTTCAATGTTTTCTTTGTATTTCAAGGACAAGTTAGAGTCAGGGATTGTAAATCAATACACCATCAAATATAGTAAATATCTCCTCACAAAGTAGCTGCCTGTTTTGTGCATGTGCTGTAAAAAAAAAATTGCTGTTTTTGCTTTATGAATGGCAAACAAAGTGGCTCAGACCGAGCCATAACCAGACAGTCTTTGAGTCTGCCATATCTGTACAGATTGCAGGTCATCAGTGTTCAGACTGCTAGAACTGGCTGCACTCTAATCTCTCACATGTCCTCTTCTGTAGAAGTATCGTCAGAAGAAAATCAAAATAACACTGGGGTATTGCAAGCTGCTGTATTCTGAAATAAAATGACAGATATGAAGCCGTAATTGCACTGTGACAAGTCAAATGTTTTTGCTCAAGATATCTGTAAGATCATTGTAACTAGTCAAAACAACACTTAGAGATGTGTGTAATTCAGTCTGGATTGAGTGAAATAATAGTTGCAGATTTTTCACACATCATTATGACAAGTCTGAAATGTGCATGTTGCAGCTGATACGAGGCGTCCCATTGGACGTTTGTTCAGAAAAGCATTTGAACAGTGTTGGCAGAACTAATGACGGTTGCTCTGGTAGATATGATTGTTGTCTGTTGTGAAATAGGAAGAGTTTATTAGCAAGGAGTTTATGGAAACTGAGAGACTTTGTTCATGAGAGACTTTGGGCTCAGGCTGCAAGGACGAGGCGGTAACATGACTTTTTATATGCGATTACAGTTGCCGTGCAATAGTATGTTTGAAAAAGGAAGCTGCAGCCACCTCCCACTTGCTGTAGATTCTGACATCAGTGCAGAAATCTGCAACATCATTTCATCGAGTTAAAACTTGCATACTCAGAATATCTGTAATTACATTTTGACCAGTCAGGGTTAGGGTTTGACCCATCTATTACATACAACGTCATTCCGAGGTTACCGTTAATATTGAAGCCACTAGCAATGATCTGCTAAACTGGCTCAAGATATGAGCACAAGTGTAGCTCATATTTTATGTCAAGCTAGCCTCACATGTATCTAGACTTTGGTTTTGATAAGCAACTGGCTTCAACACCTACTTTAATACTGACAGGCGTATTGGCACACTTGCTATAGTACAAAAATATTTGCCACTTACATAGTAAAAATAAAATGACCTTCCCTTATAGACACCATCTTACACTTGGACAGCAGATGCTCTGAGCAGCTGTGGGTCAGAGGGCAGAGCAGGTTGTCCACTAATTGCAAGGTTTGATGCTAAATTCATATACCAACAATCTTTCTCCAGAACTGCTGACTCACCTTTAAGCAGGATGTTTGTTTGAAGGTTGTGTTTTTGAGTTAACAACAACACTGTCAATCATTGCCGCAATCAGTAATTACTAACATCATGAAACATCATCAGCATCCACATCAATCATCACTAGTTCTGACCTCCGGGGTCGTCCACGTGCATGAAGATCATGTCCTGGTTGGCTGCCAGGATGGAGTAAAACTGCTCGTGGTTGACTGTGGGAAGCTGAGCCATGTTCCACAGCTCGCCTCCGTCCACTGACACATGGATCATCCGCTTTGTACCCTAACACACAAATACAAACATACATACACATGGAAACGTGCTGGTTAGAATATTCTGTGCTATACACATATTATACTTGGGTAAAAAACACACAGAAACTTAACTTGTAAAGTGTTGAGAAATACATTAAATGCAGTTATTAGTGATGGAACTTCATCTCAACGCTAAAATCTGTGTACAGGGGGTGCCGATGTACTATATTAGTGTCATTAAACCAAAATCGAAAAAAGAAAAAAAACAACCCCAAAACACCTTAATTTACAGCTGGTATCAACATGTAAACTCTTTCTACCTATTAAATATTAATAAGCTTCTGTTCACTTCATCCTGCTTGTGTTGTGATTAAATCTCAATATGTAAATTATCTCTGGCCAACTCTTTAATATGCATGGTACGTCCCAGGTCAAGAAAGTTGAGTTGTGCATTTTTTTCAATCAGACTTTCTACAAACATCTACTTAATTTAACTGTTTCCTTGCATGTTAAGCAAAAAGGAGAAATTAGGTGACAAACTGCTGGGCAGAGCTTTTCCCTGTGAATGTTGTCATTCTGTACAGATTGCACGTACACCTGGCTGAGATCCGATCACAGCGTGAGCCAGACCAACTCCAGATGCGGTCACACCGATCCAATTGCATTCTGATCACAATGCCAGCATTTACACCTTGCATTAGCATGTGTTTCTAGTTATCCAGATAGGATATCCAGACACAGACTGCATGTTAATGCCAGATGTCATAAAACCATTTGAGTGGCGAGACAACACATTCTTTTTTTGCACTCTTGGAGTTTTTTTTGTTTCTTAAAATACACAGAGGGATGTAATGAGTGCAAAAATAAATACATATTGTTGTTTTTTATGCTAACAGGCACATAACACACACATACCATGCCAGTCATGATGGAAGCGAAAACAAATCTTCCTCCCAGTACAAAGGAGTAAACTCTTGTCGCGATGGTCTGGAAACTTTGACCGTAGTCGATCGTCTTCCTCAACTCTAACATTCCTTTGTCATCTGACAGGAAGCAGGTGAGGTTATCAGATGCATTATTGAATTTTCAGTATGCTAATAAATGGATAATTATGTCATCTTCACTTACTGCATGATCCATTGTTGTTAGTCGTAAAGTAGATGCTGTTCTTGGGGCCCCTGTGTGTGAGAAAAAGAAACTGTGAAGGGAGGAATCAGTGGGACAAGATCTAATTGTGCTCACATTTTGTAACATCTGAACGTTGTGCGAGTTCAGATGTAAATCCACTTTTGGAATTTGTAGAAATCACAGATTATGGTTATGGTGCAGCAGGCACACATCAACCCTCCCCCCTCAGGCTGCGCTCCAAGCTCTCTCTGGTTTTGTTTGCTGCCAAAGGGAATGAAGGTTTTCACACTGCACAGATTCTGCTGGTTCAAGGACTGCGGGCTGAATAAGAATGCCACTGCTGACTCATGATTCACTCTGACAGCAACCTCAGCTCCCTCGCTCTGCAGTCAATTTAGGCTGAGGCCTAAATGACAGCTGTGGTCACGCAGAGCTATCGCTATGTTCCCACAATGCAGTGCTAACAACCGCAGGCTGACACCACAGCCTCATGTGAACTCTGGTGCTCGAATGAAACCGAAGTCAGGAGAGTGATCAGAAGTGTGGTGAGGAAGACAGCTGGAAAAACAACATTGGACAAAGAACACACACACACACACTCCTCTTTTTACGAGAAGCAGAGATACACATTTAGACTGTGTGTAAACAAACATGGACAAAGCTGCTTCGCTCAGTGATGGACAGTTTACAGTGTTTTATGCAGATCATTGACACACTATACTAGACGAAGTTACACTGGACCAATACTCGGCCATTTTTCACTGCCAAACTGTTGTCTTCACTTTATTCCACATTAAAACGCAACTAAAATAAAACCTCCTAAAGAGTTAACCTATGCTATGATGCACAACCCAACCTTTGCTTGAAGCCCCTCTGCAGCCACAGAGATGCTTAGTCAGTGACACTGGTAATTATTATTTATTTAAGAGCTCTAGGTTCAAAAATAGACACCAGGGATCCTGGGTAAATTAAAGGCACAATTTTTTAGTCTTGCCACAACATCAGATTTTCACTACATAATTATCATGGCCAGAAATTCACAATGATAATATTATCACAATATCTATGGAAAATTACAATAATTAAATGGTGTCAGTCAAATTTATCTTTTTTGCCCAATGAAATACACAGAAAATATGAGTGTAGGGAGGTTGAGATGATCTGTAATACCTGCACAGAATGTTCCCATGTTGGATTGTCATCCAGATAGATACTGGTGCTAGATTATTTAATAATATTATCATAAGCGTGTTATTAACATGATATAAATATTTCTCTTTTTTTAAATATCACATTGTAGGCATTACTGGAAGATCAGTGAAATATAATTTCCTTCAAAGTCAGAGAACAAAAGGTCAAAAATGAGGTTCAGCTCTCCTTAATAATTTTCTTACAGTTACTAATGTTTGGTTTATGTCATCTGTTAAATGTTCAGTACCAACATTAACACATGTCAAGTGTGTGTTTAGAACTAAACAAGACTGTGACTCATAACATAAAGGGCAATTCTCACCATCTGACCAAACACACACTGTCATGGATTTTCCTCCAGGTGGCGCCAAAGTCCTCAGACAGCCACAGCTCAGACTGGAGGGGGGGAAAAAAAGCTTAGCCAGTGAAAGAGTTTTCATGGACTTCTGTGCATGCACTGATGAATGACTGAGAATTTAATAGCCTGAAATGCAAGTCTAGCGTCCATTAAAGACGGGCCTGTAAGTAGGTGCACTTTAGTTAACTGTGCTACGACTGTAAATTCCTGACTAACTGATCACTGCTACCGTGATACTGAGCGTCAGGAGTGTGTTGCAGTCTCCGGGGTTGTACAGCATCTGAATGAGGGGCTCAAATGGCAGGTCGGTTGAAACGAAGGTCAGGCCGAAGTCCTTTGAGCGAAACAGTCGAAATCCCCCGATCTCTGACACATCACCAGTCAGGATCACCTGAAACCAAACGCAGACACTAAACCACCATTCAAGTAATTAAATCCGCTGAAAATGAATCTGCACCTGTTTCGATAAACAAGACAATAATCAATAAATCATTGTTGGCATTAAAACACCAAAGATTCTTCAGATCCAGCTTCACACATAGGAGGATTGGCTGCCTTTTGGCACTGTGTCACTAAAAGTTGAAAGTTGTACTATACTCTACAGAACCTTGCACACACATTCTCAGGTAGTAAATGTGCACATTTCTGCACAATGGAAGCATTTCTACTACTGCTTCATATAGTCCCTTGATTAAACTTGCTGCTAATTTGGCTTGTAACATTTACGAGGTGTGTCAGCAAAGCTTCAGGACTGGTGTCACAAAAGATATATTTCAAATCCAAATTACAAACTACGAGTTTTCCCCTTTGAAATAATCCCTCTGGAGTCTAACACACTTTCCCAGCCTTCTCTGCCACACCGCCATGAACTCCTGGAAGGATTCTTCCAGGATCCTCCACAGCTCCGTCGTCACAGCCATCATGATGTCGTCCACGTCTTCAAAACAGGTCCCCTTGATGACCCCCTTGAGCTTGTGGAAGAGGAAAAAATCCCACAGTGCCAGGTGGGGTGAGTAAAGAGGTTGCTCCAGCACGGCGATGTTCTTCTCAGCCAGGAACTGTGGGATGCTCAGGACATTGTGAGCAGGCGCATTGTCATGGTGAAGCAGCCACGACTTGTCCTGCCACAACTCTCACCTCGCGCACTGAACGAAGCAAACACTACAGGATCTCTTTGTAGACATGCTGGTTGATCGACTGAAATATCTTTTGTGACCAGTCCTGGAACTTTTTTGACACACCTCACACTGTCCAATGGCTAACAACCCTCCAAAAATCTATGCATTATTGTATTTAATGTTATGCAGTTTCTTGTATGTGAAGCTCTATTTGGCAGTAAAACAGTTTCTGATTCCTGTTTTCTGAAAATGTCACATCATAAGGTTCTGGACAGTTAGACAAAAAAAAACCTTTGGAGATGTCACTTAGGAATCTGCGACATAAAAACAACATTTTCAACTACTTTCTCACATTTTCTAGGCAAACAATACAGAAACAGAGAAAAGTAGGGGCAGATTTATTGAAAATGAAAATAATTCATTTTTGCAGCTCTACGAAGAGAGAAGCAATGAGAAATATTCTTTCTTAACCTACAGTCGAGCAAAGCTTTGAAGATGGTTCACTGCTTAGGATAAAGTATGTGGTGCAGTATTTAAATATTAATAAATATAGAAGAGGTTTGACTTCCCAGCATGGCTCACCTTCCCTGACTGATCTGGACTGATGGCGATGCCAAACTCTGTCTGGATGAAGGTGTGGTTGATCAGATGAGTCACGTCTTTGAACGTCTTCCCATAGTCTTCACTGACACATAGACAAGGTTGCAGTTAGATCCTCAGAACCACCACCAAGACAAAACACTTACTTATCCCTGTTAAATCAGTGTGCTGTCAGCGACAGGACGCTTCTCACCTCCTGTAGAGGTTCGACTGGCCGAAACGCATCATGAACAAAGGCACCTGAAACGTCGTCAACACCAGCAGCACCTGGGGAGGAGGCAGTTACACATCAATCTGTACTTAATCTCATTTAAAAAAGAAAAAAAAATCACAAGTACAGCTGAAAGGAAAATCATATTGCAATCATTTTGATGGATATTGTAATTGTGATGTGAGTCATGATTTTTGTGCAAATCTTTTTTTTTTTCCATTTCTTTTCCACTGGAAAAAGTACAAAAATAATGGGATTTTTGCTGCAGTCTTTACCCAACAACCGTGATTGCTTATAGAGAATATGATTTGTCATCTCTGTATCACCACAATGTTTCATTTGTCATGGTATTTTGTGACACTGGGGCTCATGTGATTTGGAAACTGCATGTGAACATACTGCAATTTTGATATTATTTTTAAAAACTGTTCATCCTTAATTCAGAATCATACAGTTTTATGCATTTAAACCAACTCACCCCTGATCCGTCGCCCACCCAGGCCAGTGACAGTGAACCCATGGTGCGCACCTTGAACGTGAACTGAAACGAAAGAGAAAAAGCAAAGGGAAGTTTTTGTTTTGTTTTGTTTTGTTTTTTTTACAAATCTTGGGGAAAAAAAATCAATGAGGAAATCTAGAAAAAAAAAAGTCTTGACTTGCAGCCACATTGGCCAACACGGGACTATTTGAAGTATTTGGGAGTTTGGTATGATGTTGCTTGCTTAAGAGGAGTAAAAGAACATTTTCTGAAATACACAAAATGAGCTTGTGTGTGTTTTTTCCATTCACTACACACTGAACACGCCGGCCGACGGGACAGAATGAATTGTCCATACTGTCCAAAGTAACTCGGCCATTTGGATGCACTCTGCGTGTGTGACCTACATTCCTGTCTAAATGACAAAGCTGAGGCCCGAGAACAAGACAACTGCTGATGTCCTGAGCACAGCAACACACATAACATACATTAAGGATGAATGTATTATGCTTTTAAATATTTATCTTACTTATTAATATATTTCTCTTGCTATGAAGTTCAAGATATAATAAACAACTTAGAGTGACATAACATTAGAGGCAAGGAGGGAAAAAAAATTTAGACGTAAACTTTTCTTCCACAACAAGTGCCCTGACTGCAAACAACATTCCCGTCCATTCATCCAGAGTGACGTTCAAGTGTCTGGCCTTTTGAGCAACGTGTTTAGCCGCAGCCCACATTGTTTGGAATCTGAGGGAGGTTTTTCCTCCTCCTCTCTTTAGCTGGTGGGTGCAGAGATGTTTACAAGGTGAGCGCAGGCCTGGAGAGTGTGTGTACGGCTCTATAAAGCCACAGAAGATGGCCAGGTCTGCCGTCGGCCTGCTGGAAACTCCTTGTAAACAAGTCCAGTGGAAACTGGCCTGCCCCGACTGCCCAAGTCCGTGAACACGACTTTCCGTCTCTCCTGCATTAATCATTTCATCACGCTCACGCTGCATCCATCTGTTCTTCCCTGTTCTGATTATTTAAGTGTTTGACAACTTCTCCTCCCTTCCTTTGCAGTAATTCAGTCAATCTATTGATCAAATTAGCTTTTTTAAAGCTTCATGCGTGCCATGCTCCTAAAACCCTCACACTAAAAAAAAAAAAAAACACAAAGAAAAAAACATCAGTGCTGCTGCTTCTTATCTGTCCATGGAAATGCTGTTGTTTGTCAGTTTTCTCTCCCTTAATTTTAAAAATAAGCCTGATTTGGCTTGTGCACTTGAGGTTTAAGCTGTTTTTATCATCACCGAGTAAAAGATTCATGCAGTTTTTTTGTTTTTTTTCCCCATACTGCTAACTGATGTCTGACCCCAAAATTATCACTGGTCAGAATCATTGTGGTGCAGTGGTAACGAAATAAGTGGTTAGACAGGGTATTTATCTGCTTTCCATCCAAACATCTACTGATTTATAATGTTCTTTACACACTAAATAAAAGAAGCAGGGAGCTGTTGGCGCTTGTATTGCACTTTTAATTATGCCTGTAAGAAAAATGTCCCTAATAAGATGTTACTATGAGAAAACATGTGAAGTAAGAAACAAAACAGAATGTAAAATATTGACCATGACTACAGCCAACTTAGTGGTTCTTTCAGGCTGTACTTAAGTAAAGCAAAGCATGTTAAAATGTGGTGATGTTTACCGTGTTCGTCACTGCTGTTTAAGATGCAAGCTACCAATCAAGTACAACTGAGGGAGACGGGAGTGTGTTTAGTTTTGCAGGGTTTCACTCATAAACCGCAGCATTGTACAAACTGTAACGTTGACCTGCGACTGGTGTTGGAGGGGAAATTAAAGGATCACCAAGTTATTATAATTCATCCAGAGGAGAACATGAATGTCTGCACAAACTTGCAATCCATCCCGGATTCCTGAATCCTCCATCTGCCTCAAAAAGATACTTGAAACAATATTGCCACTGCATAGTTTGTTTCCACGAGAGAATATATATATATGGACATGTTTCAGCTGCAAAATGTCCCACTCAAGTAAATAATGTATGTCGGTCATGGGATCCTGATCAAAGATGTTTGTGTAAGCCTCAAAAATCCATTCAGGCTCTACCTTATTGCATAAACAGAGAAACCCACTTTATGTGGATGTAACTGGTGCAGCTACACAAAGAGAGGCAGAAGATGAACAAAAGCTGCTTTTTGAATGACCTCCTGAGATTCAATTTGAAAAGCAAATGTTAACACTCAGGCCACAGCAACACTCAACAGGTTTCATGTTGTGTCCTTTCCAAGGATCAGGTCTTTGCGAATGTTTCTACCAACTGCTTGTACACCTGTGTTGAATTTAACCAGTGGGGTGTTTCCCCACATCTGTTCCTCTGAAACCCTGACTAGACAAATGCTGACTTGACCAGTTACAGTTCACTGGGACTGAAACCCAAACAATCAACATTACACAGCAAGTCGGCTGGAAGTCTGCGTCCGAGTCTTACTCAGATCACGTAAATTAATGTTTGAGGAAGGCAGCTTATGCAAAGCGAAGGATTTTTTTTTTGTCCTGCCTCATAGTGAAGATAACAAAGGGGTGAGTAAAGAGAAGAAAAGATATACATTAGCCAGCAAACAAAATCAAGAGATAAGTGCCTGACCCAGTTGGATGTGGCCTCACAAACCAGACATGACCTCATGCTGCATCACGCGTCGAATTTAAGAGACCAGATCTGCTCTGAAAAGGCTCCTCTAATCTCCCCACGCATCTCAGCTCAGGACACTTGTGGCATTCAAGGTGTGCTAGTACTTTCAACTTTCAAAAGTGCACAACAATGCGGCAATGAGGGAGTATCGCACATGCCCAGCTGCACAGACACATGTATGTCCATGCTGACTCGGTAACGCACACAGTCGGTGGGAGGGAGCACAGTGAAGTCCTCTCTCAGAGGTCAGATGCCAACACAATGAGCTCCTTATTCCCTCTGCTCTGGGCTTTAACTTTCTGCTTCAGCCATGTTTACACACATAAAAACTTCAGAAGAGGAGGTCAAACACTCGGGCTCTGATCAAACACATGAAGCCGTACGGACCGAGCCTCTGCTGCTCAGCTGAGCTTTTAGGAAGAGCTGGCTTGTATTAACATCCACTGGGTTCTTATGGTTAAAGAAAACCAGAAAAAAAGCAAAGCAAAGACCTGCAACTAACTAGGATGATTATGTTTGGATTAATTAACTAGAAAGTATTAGAAAGTAGTGAGATTACACGGCCAGTTTCAATTTAGAGCTGAAATGTTTAGTTTCTTGAGGGATTTGCTCCACAGAAAACTGGACGGCAACAATTCTGATTTTGTGTTTTAGCCATGATGCTTAGTTGATGAATCCCACTGACTTCAGTGATCCCATTTCTTCTGGCACCATTATGACATTTTTAGTTTAACGTGAAACGCTTTGACATCAATAAATTCTGTACAGATGATGTGGGTTCTTCAGGGCCAATAGCAATTATTTACAATCAAGGAGTCTGAAATGCTTTGCTTACTTTTGGTAAAGCTGGGGTAGGTAGTATGTTTGGCATCATTGGGCAAAAATTCCACACTAACCTTTGAGCTTATGGTAATTTAAGTGATCTGAGAAGAAACTAGACTTCTGTACGTCCTCTTGTAACCCTTGATGGCAGACTTTCAATCACAGGCCTTTTTAGACCAGATCAGGTGAGACGTTATACAGAGTCCTGAGAGTAGGCTGTGGTGGCATCATGGGTGAAGCCTTGATTATACCACGTTGTGGATATGGACATGGACAGGTACAAATACCACGGACACATAGCTGTTGTTGTAAGGACAGTGTTACACTTTCAAGCATCCATGAAAGAATAATAACAACTACGCATCCGTGGCGTTCGTCATCCATGTGCATTGGACATCGGCATTGGAGTATAATCGAGGCTTTATACTACTTTTTAGTCAGGTGGAGTTTGCTGGGAAGTTGGCATCTACTGTGGCAGTGCACACTACTGTGTTTGTGACATAGTTGCTGTGCGGACTGTCTGCAGTCACACTGACTCTTACAGATTTGAAGAGATGATAAAAATTTATGCTAGCAAAACTTCACATATTTACAGGTATGCAACATATAACACCAGTCTTAGACAAGAGAGCCAGAGTAGGAAATTAATGAAATAAAGAAACGTTTCTCTATTTAACCTTCAATATTTACGGGCTATTAATCCTGACATGCAACCAATCAGACAACACTCTGGCCGACGTATTGCTCAAGACCACAGACTGACCACAAGCTGCATTAGAGCCAGAATTAATTTATTTAATCATGAATCGGTTCTTAAAAATGTCAACAGCGGAAAAATGCTGAATATCAGATCCAGCAATCAGCCAGGCAGATAATCAGTTGACTTCTAGTGCGGACATTCATTTCTCTCTTTGAGTAAACTGTTGTTGCCGTGGTGATGATCCACAAATCTAGTTCATAACATACAAAAAAAACAGCGTTCCCGTCCGCCATCAGCTGTACTTTGCCTTTTAGGCTAATTAGCAAATGATAGCATGCTAACAAACTTAGACAACAGGGTCAATATTACACCTGAAAACATCAGCATGTTAGTCTGTGGAGCGATTTACGGGGTTGATGACTATTTTTGCTGATTAATCCACAAAGTAATTGGCTACTTCATTTCAGCCCAAACTACATCTACTATGATGCATGACAGAGACAGAGAAGGTGAATCCAGCAATGTTTTGAAATGCCTGCTGATTAAAAACGTGTTGATTTACTTTCTTTAAGTCGTATTAGTGTGAATGTATTTAGATCCAAACAGAGACAACACACACACTTACTCACTCCTACATCGTCTGTGGCTGATCAAAAATTCCAAGTACTACTCAACCTTTGATTGCACAAGTGCCTCCTTTACTTTCACCAGTTTGTTGTTCTCACTGGACGTCGCTGCCTGCGCATCAACAAAACTTTACTTCCCCCAACTCTCGCTTTCTCACACCATGTGGAACATCAACTCTGCGGTTTCTCTTGGTGCTCCAACAGCTGGCTGCGACCCAGCTACGCTTCACCCCCAAAACAGAACATGTTTTCTCTCTACGTTTTTTTGGGCCAGAGGGGATAGAGGACGGAACGGAGTCTGAAGAAGAAGAAGAAGAAAAAAAAGAAACAGCAAACTAGTTTGTAAACCTGACAGGGTCCACTGAATGAATTTAGCAAAAACATGCGAAACCGGGGGGAAATAAGGCAAAACCAGAGCTGGCTGACAAAACACATCCTGTGTAGTCTATCAGGACTAAAATAGCACAAAACGAAGCCCAGGCAGGAATAGGTTTGACTTGTCTGAGCTGCTCATTTACACAGTCATCTGGAAAATAGGGAGCATGTTAATGATGACTCCGCCCTGATAACAGAGAAGTCAGACAGACATCAGTCTACAGTGGAGATCAAGATCAAGTTCGGAGGGAAAAAAGAAACTCGGGGAATGTCTGTGAGGGAGAAAGGCCCAGAGGAGACGGGAGGAGTCTGCTCTCTGAGAGCACGCCGAATCGTTTTCATGCTCAGAAGCTGGCCCAGGTGTTTGAGCCACAGCAATGATGTAACGTCCGCTTCCTCCATCAAACACACACACACACACACACACACACACAACAGGACGACGATCCCGTGGAGCTCTGTGGCTTTGGAAAAAGTTGTTATTTCTGAACATTCCCCACAACATCAGAGCTGTTCTTGGTGCACTTCCTATTACAGCATGTTCAGCGCTGAATCAACAGAAGGTGTTGTTTGGTCTACTAAAGAATATGTTTTAAGACGGAATGAGATGAAGGAGAGAGAAATAAATGATTTTCAAATGTGACTGTTTCATCTTGACCCCAGGTACAAAATGCAAGTACAAGCTCACATGTGATCACCTGCTCCTCCAAAATCCTTGTGTTAGCAGACTGGAAGAACACAACTGTGAATGTCTGCGGTCACATTCATCATTAGTCCACCGGAGCATGAGAACTCAGAGTCAGCAGGCATAATGGATGTGACGTACACTGATGACCTACATTAATCCAGATCAATTAAAAAAGAAAAGAGTGCAACAGACAGAGCTGAAAAGATGATCGGAAAATCATTATTGAATCAGAGCAATTCTACTTATTTTGCTATTTTTTTCTGATTATTGTTCCCTGTGCTTTGGATTAAAGCTGCAATGAATAGCTGATATACTGATTAGTAAATCGACTTAAAAACTAATCTGCCACTATGTTGATAGTTAATTCATTGTTTCAGTTATTTTTTTAAATTAAAAAAAATCTAAATATTTTCTGGTTTAACCATCTGTCACATGAGGAATTGCGGCATTTCCTTGTCTTGATCTTGAGGTTTTGTGCAGCTGTTTAGACAAAACAAGCAAATCTAAAGTTCCCTTTTGTGGAAAATCCCAAAGACTAAACAGTTCACTGGTTCATCAAGAAAATGTTATTAGCTGACCGTAAGTTTGGGAATTTTAGTTTAACACAGCAATTTTGCAGATGTCAGGTGGGACTCTGGGAAACTTTTTTATTTTTTATTTTTTTAATTGAAAGACCAAACTGTCTGAGAAATAAGAAGTAAACAGCAAGAGAATCTATTGGAAGTGAAACTAATTAATGACTTCAGCTTTGATTAACCTGCAGATTGACTTTTAGGTTAAATAACTGATTGTTTAATCAATAAAACATCCCCAAAATTGCAGTAATAAAGTCTATAAATGGTGTTTTCAAATTGCTTTTTTTGCCTAAAATGACATAAACTAATTGTAATTATTAATCAAACTGCAACTAACGATGAAAATATTTCCATTTGTTTCAATCATCAGATGTTTGGCTCATTTTTTTTCCCAACTATCAAAATAGTAACTAAACTTTTGTAGATCAACTAATCAGTTAATACAGATACTTGTAACTACCATGATTCACATCTACTTATTCAAATCACAGTTATTTGTAGAAGTGATGTTAAACAGTTTCTAAGTGGAGTTAAAGAGCGGCTCCACGAGCAAAGCGACCACATACTGCCTCGAGCATGAGTCCCCTCCAGCAGTTGCACTGAACTCTGAGAGGTTTTGTGACTTCTGCGGAGTTTTAATGCATCAGTGCTACTCGTAAAGTCACTTACAGTGTTGGTGTTGTTGAGCAGGGCTGCCTCCACTCCGGCCAGAGCTGTACATGACTGTTCATTCAGTCCTGCGCTGCGCCTCGACAGCTCGGTCCTCTCTAAAACATGTCGCTCCTCATCACCTCCGAGCTCTGACAGCTTCGCTCCGCCGCCCAACGCCGACCAGCACAAGCCGAGAGCCAAAAGCCAAGACGCGGAGACCATAGTTTCACCGAGACTGACCAACTTCTAGGACTCTGAAACTCAACTGTCCCACCACTTGGCTCCGCATGCCCCCCTCATCACACAAAAGCATCTTCAATAACGGCCCATCCACCGCGGCTTCTGATTGGTCGAGACCAGAATAACCTGTGATCTGATTGGACGACGGCGAATCTTCCTCAACTGCGTGTCGGAAGTTATCTGGAGTTAAAGTGCCCCCTGGTGGACAGACTGAGCAGAGAGCAGCACAGACTGGATTCGTGGAGAGTTTATTCATCTGTAAATACTCTCCAGATGTTTGGCGTTTTTTTTTTTTTCTCCAATTACTGGCTCATCAAAATGGTTACTAAACTTCTGTTGATCAATTAATCGTCCCAGTTATAGATACTTTTAACTACCAGGATTCACATGTACTTATTCAAATCATATTTATTTGTAACAGTGATGTTAAACTGTTTTTTAGTGGAGTTAATGTGCTGCTGATTCTGTGTCTTAAGTCATTTTAAGTCATTCTTAAAACACATTTTTATTGGAGAGCTTTCCCTGATTTTATGGTTTCATAATATAAGCAATAAGATGTATAAGGTTTGTTTTTAAGTAGTCTTTAAATGTCCGTGTAGCCTTATGCACTATTATGTGTATAAAACTACATTGTTTAACCCTGGATGCGCGACACAGTATGAATTTATATTACACTACCAAACAAAGCACAAAAAAAACACAAAAAAAACTGCAAAGAGTCAGAAGCTTTCGGAATACAACAGTTTAATCGTAGTATTGATTCGTAACAAAAAATACCCCCCCACCCCTACTTTTTTCCTGCCTGTCAGTTCAAACGCTGGTCAGACTCATGTACAGAGGTGTACAGATACTGAGAGACAAGAATTAGCACATTGCAAATAGAAACCTCTTATGTGATCCAAAAAGATTCTGAATGCAGCCAGAATGAGAATGTGCTGTTGGAAAGTTGACGTTGTTGTGACATTCAGCCCAGGTACACTTCCTCGCCCTCCCCTCTGCTGCCCAGAACTCAAACCAAGACCAAGTCTTTTCTGCTCTAGATGTCCTTGATTACATCCTCCAGCTCCTCTTTGGAATACATGTGGAAGGTCTTACCAGGTTCTACTGTTGCCAGCTGCAGAAGAGACACAGATTAAGAATGTTAGAATGTAAAACCAGGGATTGTAACTCTGGCAGTACCGTGTTTTTTTTTTTCCAAATAAAGTCAAAATAGCACCACTGATTTCATTTGAAATTTACATTTTTACTGACAAATCCAGCCTTCAAATGTCAAACAACTGTGTGATAATACAATCAAGTGTTCGATGAGGAACAAACCTCGATGTTGGTGGCGTTGAGCTTCTCCTCCATCACCTGCTTTAGAATGGTGAGAGAAGACTTGATGGCGTCTTTTAATGTCATGGACTGAATGGGGAGAGACGGGCACAGAAAAGACAACTCTTTAGTCCTGTTGATTTAAATCACTTCACTCAACATAACTTGTGCTGACATGTGATGACAACATTTGTTGAACTGTTTTTCACAGCAAAATTTTCCCATAAACCCTCAAATGCATGCAGCCATTTCTCAGACATGTTTTCATGTTTCCTTTTCATTGCATTGTATACAACACACACACATATACACAAAATATTCTTGTTATTTATGAGGTGCTTACAGTCCTCACAGAACTCAAATAGGTTTTTCAAAATTGATAAATATTTCTGTTTAGATGGATTTATTCCACATTTCCACTGTCTTATCTTGCACACAGCTGTAACTTCTCAGAGAATGACACCTACCAAACCTAAATTAGTCAGCACAGTAATCACTAATCACAGCCACATGTTTGTGGTTACTGCAATGTGATTACTGTGCAAAGCACGCACCGCTCCCCTCCACTGTTTTGTGGTTGAGCACAGATGGACAGACGTGGTATCTCTGGCATTTTTGTGGGAGTTCTTCAGATGAAACTGCTCTGATTTTGGACAAACTAAAGCCTTTAAGAGAATCCATAAGCGTTTTGAACTTGTGGCACTGCTTTCCTTTGCTACACCCATGAGCCAAAGCAGCTAAATGCTGACATTTTCCAAGAGTGCATGTTTGTGAGAGCTTCTGGTTTTCCAAGTTGTACATTTGGCCTGGAAAACCATTTGTGTGTTTATAGCAGCAGAATCAAGGCAGTTGAAGTAATTATATGAGATTCCATCATCAGTCCTAACTTCCCTGGGAACAGCTAAGTGGACTTATGTTGACTGCTGAGTCAGGATGTGCAGTCATGGGTCCCTAACAACCTGGCATATGTATGCATGCAAGGGTTACATATGAATATGCTGGAGTCGGTACCTTGTGGTAGACCTCTTGCAGAGAGCTCTGTGCTCCCTCAGAAGCAGATCCGATGGCCCGAGCATCACACTGCACAAATGTTCCTGATGGGTCCATGTGGTACCTGAATTAAACAACAACAACAACAAAAAAAGGTAAATCTCTGTTTCAACAAAACTATAAAGTAATTTTAATTAAAATTGTAGAATGTTGCACAAGTATCTTTACATACAGCTGGGGTCCTTTTTCATCAACTCCACCAAACAGAAGCGCTACACCAAAGGGTCGGCTCTAGATGAAATACAGTACAGCAAAACGCAGTAGAGACAGACAAGCACAGGTTATGTTAGTTTACTTGAACACTTTTAAACAATCTACACCTGAAAAACAAAACACTAAGATGGCTGAGTGACTAACCATGGCACCAGGGTCAGCGTCCTCCTCTCCAAACTGCAGCGCCAGGTTGGATACAGCCTGAGTCACACTCTCCACTGTCATTGTCTCATTGTAAGTGAACCAGTGGTTCTAAAAAGGAGCATTTACAGGTTAATTGCAGAAGAAAAAGACATACTCAGCAAACTGCTTTTATTACACTGTACTCAGAATTCATACCTGTGTTTCCACTCTTGCTTTGTCAATAAGAGTCTTGGCATCAGCTATCAAGCCACTCATGGCACAACCTTTGAGGTGGAAAGAAGGAAAGTTAGAAATCTGTATGTCTTTCACAGGTTGTTGCCTGAAGCAAAAATCAGCGCCGTCAGCTTGGAGAAATAGAAAATCATACCATGTTATCTGATGGAACACTATCATTTGAGAAAGCACATGTAACCACTAACTTGACCAAACTTGGCAGTCATTTTTAAGAAATTTGACTACAACTGCGTGCTGCCACACAACATTGCAAACATTCAGGGCTTTTCTTGCAATGACAGTGAGAAACTTGTACATATATTTGAGATGACTATGCTCAACTTCTGTAATGTACTGCCCTCATAAATTTAGGCAACTTACAACTCACACAGAATGCTGCTATGAGCTTTAACTGGGTAAAATAAGAAAGACAATGTATTTCTAGATGGATTTTTAAGCTATACTACTCAGTGGCATTATAGTCTTTCTGTTTTTTTCTGGCTCCAAATACAAAAACAATCACAAGGCAGAATTCTTTGTGATCCTTTTCACACTCATTTAAATTCTCATATTGTACAGTTACAGAAGTTCTGCTGTTTATAGCATGAAAATGTTTACCCTATAAATCATAACACCCAAAGCATTTAGATAGCTAACAGGTTTTTTTTTTTTTAGCTTTGCTTTATTTTAGTTGAGATATACTAATATCAGCGCTACCTTTTTGATACTTAACATTTCCTTATTTCTGTACATTTAAAACTATTCCACAATGTCTGACATTATGACTTGCAGAACTATGTACAAAATGTTTAGGTGCTTAAAATAAAGAAAAGAAGCTATCAAAAATAATGTCATGCATAGTTTTTATTTATCAGTTTACTTCATACAAAGTGTAGTAAACAAAAAGAAGCTAAATCAAATTCCTATTTATTGTGAGCATGTTGTCACGCCAAGAAGTCCCACAATGACTAAATAGTTTTGAGATACTACCAGTAGGACTCTGTCTTCTTTTTGTCACTGAATTCTTGTAAATTTCTGGCTCTGTCTTTTGTTACTGTAGAAATTGCTGACGTCCACTAGCATCTAAAGTAACAGCCTATGGATTTATTGACAGATTGTTTGCCTTTGTGATTTATGCTGTATTTAAAAACTCTATGTTTTCTTTTTCTGGCTTTAAGATTAAACTTTGCCTTGGGTTTCAATGTGGAAAAAACCCATGTGATGCAAATACAATTTAAGTATCAATGCATCACTTAACTGAGTTGGCTGACTGACTGATTACCTGTTCTTTGAGTACATAAAAGAAACAAAAACAATTAAGTTACCATATGTACTCTTAAGTCAGTGTCCAGATTTGGCATTTAATAAATCAGTCTTTGTCCCAGATAGCTGAAACTCAGTTTGTATTTCTACTTACCGATGTGACTGTCAATCTCCACGATCTTCTCAATGCTGTTGGGCTCCATCAGGGGAGAGGTGATCCTCTTCTCCACAGCCAGACACACCCCCTCTGATGTCTGGATACCAATGGCTGTGGAGCCCAACTAGGAGTGCAAGGCCAGACCAAAGAAAACTAATGAGCTTGCATGCAGGAGACTTGTTTTCAACTTTATTACACAACAACATACAGAAGCAGTTACCGTTGCAGTATGTAATACTCACTTTTATTGCCTCTATGGCATATTCAACCTGGAACAATCTTCCCTCAGGCGAGAATGTGTTCACACCTCTGAAAAATAAATGGTAGGATATTGGTTAACAAGTCAATGTTTTTGGAAAATATTTTTTTAAGTAAACGAAAACTGTTGCATTGCAGGTTTAAATACTTTAAATCAGATGAAATGTTTAATCAACAAGACGGAAAAGTGGTGATACCGAAAGTGAAAGCAAACCAACTTTTTTTCCTAAAAGATTGCTAGCTGCTTGCTAACTACCAAAACAACAAAGTTACAACACGGGTTAAACAAAATCAGTACTTTGAGAGCTTCCTTAGGCATCAGAATACATAAATGGTTGTGCAGACACTAAACACTATTGTGCTCTGGTTAGTTTGTACATTCCCACTGAGAAGCGCTCAATAAATGACAAAGCAGTTTGTGTCGTACCAACCTGTCATATTCCGATCTGGTCAAAAACATTTTTAACGTTTAACACAGGACCTGCAAAGAGAAAACGACCGTTTATAAAAGACAAAATGGAGTGCGAAAACAAGATAAAGCAAAAATGAAAAGCAAAGTCGAGTCTTTGATTTGAAGTTTGCCGTGACACCGGGTGATTAGCTAGCTGGAGTTAGCTGCGATGCCGAGCAGGCGTGCTAGCTAGCAGGAACAGGCAGCTACAGACACAAGCGCCTGTAAACCGCTCTAATACGTCTAACATCAATATTCCATTAACATAAAAATATCCAAGATATGATAAGTGTGCAAATACACGACACTGCTCTAAATAACTGCACTTCAGAGACTCGTTTACCTTCAGCCACAAACCCTTGAATGAGTTCGCTAGTTTCAGGGGAAGCGTCTGGGGTGTAACATCCAAAGTCACCGGTTGTCAACAAATCGGAAACCAAGGTTCCGCTTCCGTAGGGACGGTAGAGAAACAGATTTTAAGCGACCAGAAGAAATTGCTTTAAATCAATTTTACTATTTATTTTATTTTATTTAATTTTTTTCAAAGTTTTTAACTGCTTTTTTTTTTTAAGCGGTGTACAGGTCATCTCAATTTTGCACAAAAAGGTATATTCTGGAATAAAAGTGTGTCTCTTCCAGGGTCAAAACAAAAAGGACAGACCAAAGTGCACATATCATTAAGGCAGAACAAGTATCACTAAAGAACCAGACATGTTTGCATGTGGAAAAAAAAAGAAAAGAGTGAGCAAACGGACTGAACGACATATAAATAAATGTAATTCTATTTGATTTTTTTTGTTGTGCTCCATGCAAAGTATTGGCACTGAATAAAATAAAATAAAATAAACATCTTTTAATCTTAAAAAGCTACATGAAACGTAACATTAAGAACATACAACGCTGCATGTCAAAGCGTAGCAGGAGCAAAATAATAATAATAATTAAAAAAAATCTAGACTCTTGACATATTTATCGGTAGTACTTTCTTTACGTAACATAGTGTGATTAAAGGTCTCTATTCAATTATCTTGTACTACATTAAAATGATTTTTTTTTTTAAATCCGCAAAATAGTAGCTGGTGTTGTATAAACTGACCAATTTTGTCTTCTTTTTTTTTCTTTTTCCTTTTTTCTTTTTTTTTGTCTTGTGAACTGTTTCTTCAGTGGAAAATCAGTCCAGTAGATTTTCCCATACAAGGAATTTGACCTGGTGCTTTGAAACCTAACAATAAACACTAGTAGAACATTTAAAAAATGTCATTAGCAATTTTGGAAACATACACAGCAAGTGTTACAAGATAAATAAAAGAGAAGTGTTACAAGTAAAATAAAAAGCAGGTCTAACAAATCAAAGCTATTATAAGGTAAAAAAAAAAAAAACAGCAATGTTTAAAATGCTATTCAAGTGAGCCAAAACGTATCATGCAAGAGACTAGAATACCAGTAAACAACTATAAATACATATAGACATTATACGATATCTGTTGATTTTAGTGAGAAAAAATTGTATAACTTAGTCCCATATGGTCTAGCGGTTAGGATTCCTGGTTTTCACCCAGGCGGCCCGGGTTCGACTCCCGGTATGGGAACTGGCTTTTGAACTCAAACACAGGTACGATTAAGTGTCTGATGACTGACTGAAGCAACAACACATGAACGTGTCTTCTGTAACTCGTCATGTTGTACAATCGGCCACTAAGAGGCGTCGTTGAGCTGAACCTTCAGTATTATCAACATAAGTCGTGTCAACCTAAACAAAATGGATTAAAAAACAACATTATTAGAATGTAGGGACAGTGCAAGTTGTTTTAACATGTATCATATTAAAAAGCGTTATGTGTTGAATGAAATCTTTAGTTACTTTACACGACCAATTAACACTAACAATTAAATCAAAATTAAGAGCATTTAAAGTTATTGACGTATAGTTTAAACAGTGCAATGGGAGTACATTTACATGCCTACATTATAGGGTATTATTTCATTATTGATGATCGTGTGCTTTAAGTGGATGGAGCCAATTTATTAACTCTGTACTATTGTAGTGGTGTAAGAAAATGATCATATGCTGCAGGATTTGGATAAATAGAGTTGTGTTGTTGTTTTTTTTTTTTTGCTTGAATAGAAACTTTCATGTAAATTAAGGGGAATAAAAGAGTGAAGAGCTGTAGTCTCCACACTTTAGAACTAAATTAATTAACTGTATTTTGTTTAGTTAAAAGTAAAACTGTTTTTAATAGATAGTCCATATGACTCATAAGAAAAAACAAAATATTCACACTGAGCTCTGTAAATGTCTCCCCTGAGATGCTGTATTGTAACAAGTTAAATTGAGAGGAGGGTACCGGGTGGAGTCAGGTTTCATTTCCCGGCTGGGATCACTTTGGTCCTGTTTTGGTTCAGTGTGGACGCTCTAACGTGGCGCTGCGTGATGGATCTCTCCAAACTCTGAAATCTCACTATACTGAGATCTGCTGCTTTCTTCAGATACATAAACAGGACGGGGTCTTTCTTCTGCTCAGGACTGAGGTGAACAGCACTGACAAGGACGCTGAAAACTGCAAACATGAGGGGCGAGAGGGAGGATGTTGTTTTTCAGGCTCTCCTCTTGATCCACAGTAAGTAGGCTGGAGTTAAACACTGTTTTACCGATGATATAAGTCTGTAAAGTATGCATACATTACTAAACATTAAGATTTAAAAGCAGACCACTGATTATGCTAATAAAAACAAATGAGTGGTATTTTCTTCACTTTTTTTTCTTGGACTGGAATTTTTTTTGGAAGAGTTTAATCAATTTTCTGACGAACTATTGAGGCAGAAATGATGCATTTGACCATCTTTAGGTTGATATTAAAACCAGATTCAATGCTTTCCTCTTATGCATTCTTAACAGATGAGTATCAGTGAGTCGGTGTCTAACACATCAGTGAACGACAGTCCTTCACTTAACTGGACACCATAAATATTAGTCAGAGTATGAATTCAAATATTATTTCCAATTAAATGTATTTATTGTGTATTTTTACAGCTGCAGTAGGTCATAAGTATAGTGTGGTGTATCTTTATCTCCTTCTATACTCACATTGACCCAAAATGACCCTGAATGTTTTGTATTAATGAATTAATTTCGTATAATTTAACCATCTTCAGCAGTAGTTTGAGTTAAAGGGTTAAAGATCCATTCCTCCAACAGCAGACATACCTTTTAACACAACACACAGCATGCAGTAGCTGCCTGACTGTGTCTGTTTTTCCAATTCACTTTTTTTCTTCTCTCGTTTCTATTTCAGTCCCTGTGGTCTGCTTCTTCACTGCAGGTATGCTCCCTTTTCTACATGTGCAGTTGTGATTCACATCAGTGCATCGCTCTGCTGTCAGTATTAAATACTCTGTACTTGTGTGTCCCTCAGCGTCCTGTCAGTCTGACAGCAGCAGCAGTGTGGTGGTGGCAGGTTATAATATGAGCGCCCCCGCCGGGTCCAGGATGGTGCTGCAGTGCGTGAGCGGCCGCATGGTGTGGACCAGAGACGGGGTGAGGGACCGGCAGAGGGTGGTCCACTGGGACATGTACCGCAGTGACCCGGACTACGCCATGGAGAGGGTGGTGGACATGTTCTCAGCCGGAGAACAGAGGATCTACAACTCCTACAACCTGGGCAGGGTCAGCCTCAGCAAAAAGGCCTTCAAGGATGGAAACTTCTCTCTGGTCATCAAAGGTCACACACACACACTGACTTTAACTTTCATTTGTGTGCAGCTGCTTAATTACTTATATTACATTGTCGGTGTGTCTCAGTGTGGCTTTGTCTTCATGTGACATATGATGGAACCAAACTGCTAACATTGTCCAATTTCCTTTTCCTTAAAAAACATTTAAGAAGAAAAGAAAGAAATTTGACAAAGACCAGCCAGCAGGCATAACGTTGGAGCTAAATAGATTAGGAAATTGTTCAACAAAGGTGGTGAACAAACCACATCCTAAAACATCTTGTATTACAATCAGTTCAGATGACAGCCTCCAGAGTCAGATGTTCTTTGTTTATTGTTTGCTGCCACAAGCTATTTTTACAACAGCTAAACTCAAAAATTGAGCTGTGAGAGCTTCACAAACACCCAAGTGATCCAGTTAGGAACATTTTTGAAACTTTACTAAGCTTTTGTTTTGCTTCATCTAAACTTTATTTAGACTTTAAAGTGCATTAGAGTATGGAGGCTTTATTTAAAATGTAGCGCACAAATAAGAACCGTGGATCACCATAAAAATAATAAAGGGCAAATAAATAGAGCTATTGAGATCAAAAACCAGATGAATCAGTTAAAATAGGGGGAGCTGGGAGTAAAATTAAATGAAATTATGATTCCTGAATTGCCCAAAGGATGAAAATGAGCCAACCCTTTGATTGTTTGCAGGTTATTCCAAGTTACAGGAGTACAGTGAGTGAAACTAGATTTTCAAGCGTATTGAAAACAGCTAGCTCCTGCAATAGTCCAATCATTTAGGCATGTATGAAAAAAACAATGAGGGCCTTATAATTAAATAAAATCCTGTGCCTATTACACCTTACAGAGAGTGAGGCCCACCCAATGTTAGCATACAGACTCACAGTCTAAACACACCATTGCCTAATTAATCTAAACAGTTTACGAAAAGGGCTGGTGTTGTGACGTATTCAGTCGTCCTCAAATTTATTCATACCCTCCCATTAAAGAAGGAAAAAAACAGCTGTCACTGAAGTAAGTTGAAATTGACAAAAGTAATAATATATAAAATTTGAAAAAATGAAAATGATGACATTGCTTTTGAATTGTGGTTCAACAGAAATATTAAAACAAAGAAAAAAAATCAAGAAACAAGCATGATGGGACGCATAAACAAACATTTTGTTGAACAACCCTTTGAGCCAATCACCGTAGTCCAGTGTTTTCTGTAACTCTCAATCAGACTTCTGTACCTGTTGACAAGTGTTTTGATTTTGGCCCACTGCTCATCAGCAAAGTGCTCTAATTTGTCCAGGACAGTTTTGTTTGTTTTTCAAATAATTTTTTTTCAACCACATTCAAAAGCAATGTCTTGTTTCACTAAATTATAATTTAGCAAATTTTTATTTATTATGACTTTTTTCAGTTTCTAGTTATTTGAGTGACTGTTGTGAATTTAGAATTTTCTTTAATGGAAGGGTATCAATACATTTGAGGACGACTGTACTTGATAAATAACAGTTGGTTTTGACTGTACGAATTGGTACAGTTTCCTAAAGGGCGTTTATCCAACACAATCATCCTGATGATATTTTGTGTGTTTCTTCATGTGCTGACAGATGTGACGATGAACGACAGAGGCCTGTACTCCTGTAACCTCCATCATCTCTACTGCCACCTGTACGAGACGGTCCGAGTGCAGCTCAACGTCACCAAATCACGTATGTGTCACACTCTGTACCGCCTGTCGGCATGCGAGAGATCCGGCGTATTCACCACTTCTGCTGACTTGTGTTTTTTCACCGTGAAGGCCGTAAAGAGCAGCGGTTCTGGGATGGACAGAAGGCCGTGTACGTGGTGCTGCTGGGGAGCACCGTGGTGCTGCCCTGCATCAACCGACGTACTGTGTGGACGGACTGGAGCAACGAGGAGGAGGACCAGCAGGTGTGTACACATCTTCTGACAGATCCATCTGAGCTTCAGCATTAATGGGGCAAGTAACCATATTTGGTAACTTCCTTGGACGTTCAATATGTCCACCCTGTGCCTCTCCTTAAGGTTGAAGAACCATGTGCACTTTGATTTAGTTTTTGTATTAGTGCTAACATCACTATCCTACGAAAAATGTCACTAAATAAACGTTCCAGGCTTTTGCCAAGCACTTTATAAATACTTTGTTACCGGTTGCGTAAATATCATTACCTCAAACTAAAATGTTTCTAAATAAATGTTTTTTGCAGTTTGTTACTTTTTCTTTTATTTGTTATAAATTCTCTTTTTTCAACCATTGACGGGGAAGTTACCATATATGGTAACTTTATTAATCTTGATTTGCAACATTTTTTTTAAAGTCACAAAAGTAAAAAATATCTTGAAATATCTTTCAATAACACCCTAGGGTTGACATTTTCATTTTCCAAGTATTTCAAGGAGTGCCCTATGAAGGGTTAAAGTTACTTTTAGTTGAGGTGGATTGGATCATATGGGCTGAACGATGCCTCTGCTCTCCAGGTGGTCCACTGGGACCGTCAGTCCCCTGGAGTCCACCACGATCGAGCTGACCGGCTGGTTGACCTTTACGCCTCCGGGGAGCAGCGCAGCTATGGACCCTTGTTCCTCCAGAGGAAGATGAACATCAGCAATCAGGCCTTCTCAGAGGGAGACTTCTCACTCACCATATCAGACCTGCAGGTATGTGGGCCTTAACAAAGGAAGCAGCAAATGCAACACACTGTAAATACACACTGCGATGGTAAAAGGTACACTTCCACTTGTGCTTTTACATGTGTGTACTTGTTTATTTGGGTAAAACTGTTAACAAAATTGTGTTTGTGTGTGTCTATGTAAACAGTGTTTCTGGACCACATGGCTTTTTCATTAGTAGTGTAGCTCTTGTCAAGTCATGCTTTATTCCTCCACTGGGGAAATGAGGTCGGCAACCACAACAAGTTGAGCAATCATTCAAAGAAAAAGAAAAAAAAAAGAAGAAAGAAAACAACCCAAAAAACAAAAGTTGTTTCCGTTTGTTACAGCTACAAGCAAAGATTTAATGTTTGTGGTCACAATTTTAGGGAACAATAAGGGTCCCAGTGTTTTTTAATCGAGCTCAGAAATCAGAAAATGTGGGTCAGATACATGTTCAGGAGGCTTTGGGGCTGATCAAACACATTGTGTCATAGGGCCAACGTTAACGTAGCACAAAAGCTGTTTGTGTATCATGAGTGACAGATATACAAATAGCATGCAAACAACTCCTCAATATTTCCAGCGTTTACAGTGTTTTAAAATGATCTAATTTGATGAAATGAATATCAATCCTACACAGCTGTATGTTACATGAAGTCATTTTTTAAATAAATCTAGATATAGCTGAAAACTGATGTCTTAACTCATTGATGGAACTAAGCAAGTACTGAATGATACAGGTTTTATTCCAATAGCACAGAGTGGAACCTTTTTAGGCTGCTTGTAGTGTAAGGAAGTTGCATAAACATGAACATGCAATATGTTTTCCATTAGATTACACTTATGTGGTGATTTTTAGAGAGTGGCATTATTCAGCAGCTGATATTATCGGATGGATTGTCATGACGTTTTGTAGAAATACTCATGGAGAGGAGAAATCCTGCTGACTTTAGATGACCCTCTGAGTTTTTATCTCATGTAATCATCAAGTCAAACTTTAAATTTAGACAAGACCAAAACTGACGACATTCCCATTAGCCTCAGATGTGTATTGTGTTTAGTGCAGATTAACAAACACAAGCGGACTTATTTAAGGCGGTAAACCTGGCAAAGAAAGCCGTTAAACATATTCGTGTTTACATTTTCATTGTGTGAATTCTACCATTTTTGTCAACAACATTTAATTCATTCAAGAGCTGTTGTATGCAACACTCTGAATCCAAAGCAGTTGACTGAAGCAGTAGTTTGTTTTTTGCTCCTGTCAAATTTTTACTCCTTGTGGATTCATATTTTTACTGCAATGTGAAGTCCTGCACCTCTATGGAAGCAGGGCAGCTAAGACTAGAACTTTTCTTCCGTGTAGTATGGCACATAAATGCCATAAATCATCAAAAAAGAAAACCATAAAGTGGAATTTGTTTGATTATTTATTGAACAAAAAAATGTAAAAATATAACTGAATATAAGACATCTACACACCTACAGGTGTTACCAGTACTAGGGAAAAAATGAATTGTTGACTCTACACACTGTAGATATTTTATGACTTACATTTTTAATTTGTGTCTATAATGGTTTCCTCTGTGCTCTCTGTAAAAACAACCTGGAGTTCAGCCCAGTTCAGAAGAAAAGTCCCTGAATTTTTACAACATGATTGTCAGTCACAGCTGAACCACTCATGGTTGTGGTGAGGAGCTCAGGATTTTTATTTTTTTTTTATAGAATCTGGTTCAAGCTAACAATTTATTTTTGGTGAATTTTTAAACGAGATGTAGAATAAAGGGATTTTGATGAGATATTGTGATTTTAAGCTTAGATTTGAATCATTTTCCCAACAGAGCCATACGATTATTATCTCAAGGACAGCTGAAACTTGGAAATCCAGTGATGCTTTTTATTTTTACCGTTTCTGGTTCTGGTGCCATTTTGGTGATTTCAAAGAGATAGCAAGCCTTTCAAATCCACCAGTGGGTTATGGGGTTCAGAGGGTTAAGTGCAGGTATAGTTTAATAGAGCTGCTAGAGTATCCTAAAGTATCCTAGTAAAAACATTTAATGCATTACAGAGTAGAGTTTACTACCAAGGCTTTAAAAAATAGTTAACTTTAGTACAACAATATGATTCATCCTTGAACCCATCAAAGGTCAGTGTGTTTTTATTCAGGTTGACCACAGTCAAAAACATGTTGATAATTCATCCCAGAAGACATTACTCCCTTTTTTCTTTTTGGGTTTCGTTTGCAGTGATCTTAAATTCCTTACTGTCAACTCACCCTCTCATCATTTCGAGTGTTTTTTAAGCCCCTGTGTGGACGGCATTATGTTTTCAGGTTGTTCATTTATCCATCTCATTCACTGTTACCATAACTCAAGAATTCATTTAGCTAATTATGGAAAAAAAAAATCACACAATTGCCTAATGAGATAAAATAATGATAGTAAATTGGTGACTAATCATGGGTGCCCATCTCAAAACTTGTGATGACTGTTTCTCTGCTGTAAGGTTGAATATGTGTGTGAAGCATCCACGTTTAAGAAGTTGTAGCTTCTTTGCTGCTACATCCATCTACTGTCATGGCTTTTAGTTCTATTTGAGAATCAGCTTTATTGGCCAAACCTACAGCATGTACAAGGACTTTTTTGTCGTCTCTCTCAATGAAACTATACACTTTACATTCTTCACAGCGTGTGTTGAAGGAGTCTGGATGGATGCACACTGAACTGGTGGAGGCATACAACTGTGAAGTGTTTGATGATGTACATGTGTGTTTTGACAGCCCACAGACCAGGGGATGTATTCCTGCCACCTCCACCATCACTACTGTGGTCTACACGAGAGAAGAGAGTTTCAGGTCACGGTGCAGCCGCCACTGATTCAAACCACTGAGCCAGCCAAAGCGTTACCCAGCGAAGACAAAGGTAGCACACATACATCAACACGGCCTCTCTTCCTGTTCTTGTTGAGGGCCAGCGTGAGTAAGTGCCTCAGCAGACCGGATGTTTTATGACTTCGTAGATTTGAACTATCATGTGTACAATTAGAGAAAGAGAAAAAAAAAAAAACACATCTGCTTTTTCTGTCACTCTCCCCCCTCTGTGCCGTCTTGTTTGGTCCTCGTACATCCTTTGCTGAATCTCCTCTCGGGCTCTCCGAACAGCAGAGCAGCAGCAGAAAAAGAAATCAAAAGCGTGGGTGAAGGAGCTAACTTTCATCTGTAGCTTTCTGTCTGTTTCATGGGAGACTTTTTTTTTCTTGCACTGTCAGCTTGTCTGACGCCAGACCCCTGAAACCACACACACTCAAAACCCCCTAAGCCTCACCCTCATCGCCTTACACCTTCTTCTTAAACCCATCGCACTTGACTTTTTAATCTTTATGGCACTGCACAACACTCTTTCATTTTATTTGCACCTCAACTTAGAGTGTGTGGAGTTGCATATGAAGAGGTCATTTGCAAAAACGGATAACTCCATCTTCACAAACCTTCAGAAAACACACTTTTCCATCGTTTACCTGAGAAAATATCAGTCAAACTTAAGTTATCTCTATTTTTGTCATGTCATTTCTACTAAGTCAAATCCACTCAACTTCAGTTTGATTGACATGATCTCAAGCAAACAACAAAAAATAAGTTTTCCGAAAATGTACAGAAATGGAGTTATCTGTTTTTGCAAATGAACTCCTCGTATATAAGCTTCTGTCTTCATCCACTTTCCGCTCTGCTTGTTCCCCTCAGTTTCCCATCTCTCACTTGTCGAGTTTGGCCTGCCTGAAAATTCCTTTCGCTGTGTGCACATTGGAAACGCAGAAAAAGAAAGAAAAGAGAGGCGGGGTGTCGCGGGGTGAAGGGGGACTGGACTGGCATGTTGGCGTGCCAGCTGCCTACCTCAGATTCTTTGATAATGAGAGAGTTTCTGGTGCATGTGTCTGCAAAGCCGATAATGGCAGACAGTATCAATGTGGGAAAATCGTTGAGAGAGGTTTAGAAAATGTGAAATGCCTGCGGCCGAGTCCATCTGTGTGTGCATGTATGAGTGTGTGTGTGTGTGTGTGAAAGAGCGTGCCAAGAAGACCGATCTCATTTCAGTGGAATCTCTCGGATACAGTGTTTGGACTCAAGTCCTGCTCTGCCCACACAATTAATCCTTCGCTCTCTGAGCTGTAATAATACAGTAGGATTGCACCAGGGGAATTGTGCTGGTTTGAATTGCCCTGATTTATCCCCAGCGCAGGAGCGAGTTTGTACAGTTCCTTCCTCTGCGCTCTCAGACGCTGTCGCAGCCCACTGCCGTATTAAGTCTTCTTATCTGTCTTGTCTTGCCCTCTCTGACTGTCTGCTGCCCTGTTGACTTTGGCTCAGTCCTGACATTCTGCAGAAGTTTCCCTCCGTCTTCACCCCACGTCTGTCTTCCCTCTGTCCTGTCCTTTACTCTTTTTTTCCCCCTCCTTTGATGATCCCACATTCTCAGGTTTGTTTATTTTCATCACGTTCTCTTCGCTCTCAGGTTTCCATCGCTTTTCTCCTCTTTTTCTATGTGAGAAGCCTTTTCTGTAGTTTGTTGACAAGAGCATGAAGTGTGCTTCACCTGCACGCCGGCTGTCCACACAAAAAGCAAGCCAAAAGAAAAAGAAACTGAGGTTTTTTGTGATAGAGTGAGGTGGAAAAGGAAAGGAAGAAAAAAAGACATAGGGGGGCGAGGAGTTTGTTGATGAAAAAAGGAGGAAGAGATGTAGGTCAACCCTCCCCTCCCCTCCCCTCAGAGTTATTTCTCTGTGCAGTTTGGGCAGGGAGTTTGAACACAAACACACATGTTCCCATGTCAGGAGAAAATGAAATTTGTTTTCATGTATGCTGCAGTGAAACACCCGTGTATGTGCTGAGAGCGCTGTTTGTCTGGGTAGGGTCTTTTCAAGCTTATTTTGTGAGACAAAGCCTCTGGAGAACCATCCCAGCGTCCCTTTCCTCTCCCCTGGCTCTCCTCCTCCGTTCCGCCCGGCTCTGTCCTTCCTTCACTCCTCTTGCTCTCGTCGCTTTTCTGTGTTTCGCTGCCAGGAAAAGTAAATCACAGCATGACACTCAGTCTGGATCTCATTTTGGCTCAGATATGTTGAGTCTGAGGTCCACAGCTGCATCTTGCCTTGCACTTTTTTTTTTCTTCTTTTTCTTCTGAAGCTAAATGAAACCAGGCTTCACTCCGTGCTCTGTTTCTCGACACTCAGCAGAACCGCACACATCACCTAATGCCCACTGACTGATTACTTCTCACCTCACTAACGTCTTTAGCATTGTGTACAGCCAGGAAATGTAATAACGAAAAAGCAACAAAGTTCAGTTTGCAAGGTGTTAGGTATTTACATGCCGTCTCACACTCATGAACAATAAAAAGTGCATACCCATGTGCCATGCTGACAATAATTTCCTTGGAAAGCATGTGTTGGTCTTTTAGTGTTGCACTGAGCTTGCCGTTACAAACACACATTCAAAAAAACGGGGGAATTCTTTCAGAGCAAAGAGAGCATACATTTTTAGCAGGAATTCAATTTTACTTTAATTCTTTGGTTTGTTTTGTGTAAAAATAAAACATTCAACAAAAATGAGGTGAGGAAAGACAGACAAAGGGCAAATGTAGCTTCACACCAGTCACAGGAAGGCTTTGTACAGATTNTGCTAAATGAATGCAATGTTGTTTGTTGCCATGAGTCTTTACTTAACCCTCCTATTACCTTCAAATTTGCTGACATCCTTTATCCTTGGATTCAATTTGACCCCAGCAGTTTAAACCACCAGAGAATATCATAATTAAAATTGTTTATGTAAGTTTATGTGTAAATAGCCCTTTAAATAAAACAAACAAAAAAAATACGTCAATGACCTATTTAGAGACGTTAAACATATAATAGGGTCAAATTGACCCCAAAGATAATAGGAGGGGGCTGCAAGGTGGCGCAGTTGGTTTGCACTGTTGCCTCGCGGCAAGAAGGTTGGCAGTTCGCGTCCCGGTGGGGGCACCGGAATCTTTCTGCGTGGAGTTTGCATGTTCTCCCCGTGCAGCGTGGATTCTCTCCAGGTTCTCTGGCTTCCTCCCACAAGGTCCAAAAACATGTTGAGGTTAATTGGTGATTCTAAATTGTCCCTAGGTGTGAGTGTGCTTGGTTGTCTGTCTGTAAGTGTAGCCATGCAATAGACTGGCGACCTGTCCAGGGTGTCTCCTGCCTTCACCCTAAGTCAGCTGGGATAGGCTCCAGCCCCCCATGCCCCCCTAGTGAGGATTAAGCGGTGTATAGATGATGGATGGATGGATGGATGGATAATAGGAGGGTTCAGTAAAAGTACTCTCTATTACACATATAAGCCATCCATTGAACATATTACATAAGTAAAAGTATGGAAATATAATTTGGAAAATAATTTGGAAAATGCCCTTTGAGAATTTTGATCTTTTTTTTTTTTTGTACCTTGTTGACTTGTCCATATGGTGTTTTTTATGTGATGAAAGACAAATCATGAGCGAAACAAGCAGCCAATGCCATGTCTAAGCATTTCCATCTTGAAATTGCAGTGTACTGATGACAGTCTCGAAAACACAGATTCAGACTTCCAGGGTTTCACATGTCACAAACCCAAGTAACCAACTTGCAGGGTGGGACCTTCTGTATTATTATTCTTCCTCAGAATCTGCGTGTGGCTGAATCACTTTAACATTACAACTTTTTGTAGTGAGGAGTGGTTTAACAGTGTGGGAGCAGAGTTGTAGGTGAGCTGGTGTGCTGAGCTGCAGCAAAGGGATGAAGAAAGAGGTGGGGACATCATGGATTTGCACATTCTAGAGGAGGTGTGGAATTATTTATGTGCCATTTTAACGCCAGAGGGGATTATTTTCGAAAAATAAATTTCTGAATATGTAACTTTAACAGACAGAGTTTTAGGGTTTTAATCAATGACAGGAGAGAGAATTCAAAAACAAAAACACTCAATGCAGAAAAATCCCCCTGTGACTGTTTGGTGTATGACACACCGGTCTGTTTTTGAGACAAAAGATGAAGAATAAAGGAAGTGAAATGCTGACTGTTGCGACTTTTGCATCACTCAGACACCAGTAAGAGTGAATCACCGCGAGTCATCACCGTCATCCTGCCCGACCAGAGACATCACTTTCTCCTGCCGCTGGGCTATGTCCTCACCACCCTTCTGCTCCTGGCCTTCATCATCCTCATCATCATCCTCATCACACGCCGACGTAGAACCAAAGGTCTGAACTGCTGGTTCCTCAGTCTGACTACAGTTGTTGCACTTTGGATTTACTTGTCTTAATCTGATCAAATTTTCTTTTGTTGTTTTTTTTTTTTAGAATTTTATCCTCAAGCATCCATGAGGTGAGTGAAAACTTACATACAGTCGTCCTCAAATTTATTCATACATTTATTCAGTCCAGGACAGTTTGTTTGTTTGTTTTAAATTGTTCTTTCAACTACAATTCAAAAGCAATGTCTTATTTCACTCAAGTATAATTTAGCAAATTTTTATTTATTATGACTTTTTTCAGTTTCTAGTTATTTGAGTGACTATTGTGAATTTTGCCTTTTCTTTAATGGAAGGGTATGGATAAATATGAGGATGAGTGCATATAATTACCATCTTACCCTGAAGCACAAACCCACATGTCCTCTCGCTGTGACAGGTCCAGCAGAAGTCAGAGCAGCTCAGATGAGTTTGAGATGGACGTTACTGAGGTGAATGTGTGCAGTCGAGAGGAAAGAAGATTTGGTAAGGAAGAGAAAAGTATAATTCCACAGTGGTTTACCTTATCAAATGATGCAAAGTTTGATTCTCTCCTGTGTTTAGACTACAAGAACAACCTGCTAAAGGAAAAGGTCCACGTGAACACTCAGCCTAAAGTCATTGATCTTGACAAAGGTATGCACGCGCACACACACCTAAAGTCTTGAATTACCTCAAGTTTTCTTCCTCAACCTCAGCCATGATTTTTTTTCCCCTCCTTCTTGCAGAGATGCAGAAGTTTTCTAAGTGAGAAAGTGAGAAGGAAGTGAAATCGGAGTCACTGGCTGGTCCAGAGGCTGCGGTCCAAACTAAACACCTCCACACTGCCTTCTGTCCTGGCAGGAGAGACGGTGCAGAGAGAAAGTCAATGTTGCAAAATGCTTTGTTGTGAAATGCAGAAAAACGGTAGAAACGGTTCACACTGAGGTCTTGTATTGTCAAATTGTTAGTATCACACAGAGAGGGTTGTGTTTTCTTTTACTGTACTTGATCAAACTAAAAAAAGTCTGGACAGGGACCACTGAGCACAGCATCACTGCACCACCCAGAGGGGAATCCTAACCAAACCTGGACTGCCATATGAAGAAGAAACGTGGACAGAAAGCTGAATAGGATCGACTCAGCTGTGGCTCAGCGAAGATGAATTGTCTGTTGTCATAGTTTGACATCATTATTCCTCTTGTTAAAAGGATGTTTTTTAATTTTATTTTGCCTCTACTCCTCTCCATTATTTGGCTTAAGTGACTGACACATTCCTGCAGAGTTGCTATCGGTGCAAACTGCTGCCTGCAGGCTTTGATCAACTGTATGCAAACTGACCATTTAAGTAGTTTGTGTAAAAGTGTTTTATTTTGATGCTCAGACTGTAATTTTGTGGAATGTTTCCGTTTCTTTTTTATGTTTTCAAATTCTGTGCTGATTTTTAATTGCTACACATGTTAAGAAAAGAGACCTATTCTCTCTTTATTCTGATTTTTTTTGACTGTCACACACTAAGTGCAAATATTTGTGAACTGAATGCAGACAGGAGAAATGTTTGCCAAAGGCGTTTCTCACAGCAAACACTTGGACTCGTCATTCTCACCCTGGGGTCAAACAGGTTGATGAAAAATGGCTCTGTTCAGTCAGAACAGTGTGCAATGTGAGGACCCTGAAAGTGAAACAAAAGTCTGCCATCTTGTAATCCTAGGGGCTGGAGTAGAAGGCAACAGGACTTTTTTTTTTTTTTTTGTAAGGTTCTTCAAGACGTTTCATGTTTTATTTAAAAGGCTGCTTCAGTTCTGACTGGCTGTTGGGGAGTTCCAGACATTTATTGTCACCCCAACTCACATGATTTAAAGCTTAATGACCTGAGGAACAGAGGAAGCCTCTTAGATGAGAGAGAAATGTCTACAAGACCAAAAAAAAAAGCCTCGTTTCCTTTGGCTGGAGCACTTACGATGACCATAATTGAGTCTAAACAGAATCTACATTTTGTTTTCTCAGCATACCTTGAACTCTGATTCTGTCGGTATTATTCTGATGTTATTAGCCGCACTTGTATTTGACGGTGTCTGTTTTGCAAACTTTTTTTTTTTTTTTAGTCTACATTTTTGACCTGGTCAAGTGCGCCCCCTAGCTTGGGATCCACTGAAAGAGCTGATATATTAAAACATTAAGTGTCCATTCTGGTACAACAGAACACTTTCTTTGCAGTACAACGTGTGAACCACACTACAAACTCTTTAAAGAAAAGAAATGCTACGGCTTCGGCTTTCTTCAGTTACTTCATCTGCTCGTTTGTGCTTCATACCCATCTACCTATCTGTTGTGTTGCTGTGCTGTACTGCTAATTCAGTAAAACTGTAATACAAAAATCTGGAGGATTCGTTTGTATTGTGGTCAGTTGCCTGTGACAGCCAGATGATACTGAGGCTACAAAATATTAATTCAACTCATCAGGTTCCTGCCATTAGATGGACATACAACCTACTGGTTTGTGTTTTTGTTGTGCTTGACAGATAATCATGCTGTCGTACATCAGATCATAGCTCATAGCTCATTTATTCATTCCTTTGTGTCACAAACAAACAGTCCCTGAATTCAAGACAAATGGCTTTTTATACTCTTTGTGAAGTTTGTTTTGTGTACATTTTCTATAAAATACATGGTACTGTAATATACTTTAAATCTAAAAATGGTAGAAAACCCTGGTCTGTCTTGCACTGTTGGACAACTGTATTGAAGGAAGCAGCTCACAGTCAGTCATCACGCACACTAATACACATTCACAAGCCCACTTGCGATCTGAATCCAGTACAAGAAGAAGAGCGACAACATTCACAGAACTACAATGGGTTAGTCAGTTCCTCACTGTCTCTCTCTTTCACACAAACAAACGCACAGTCAGTCACACAGACAGCTACAGAGTCTAAGAGGAAATTCATTCAGTAAGTAAACGCGATATCCGCAGAAATTTGGGGCCACGCTGTGTCTGTTTACAATTAGAGGTAAGCTACAGGTGTTATATGGTGATGACCAGGCAGGATTCTGGGTGGAGAAATGACTTGCTACAGGAAGTTTTGAGCAGCGGACTGGACTTGTGTTGTAGCACTAATTTCAATTTGAAATCATCAACGCGTTTGCTGTTGTTCGTGAGTCAAAATAACATAAAAACTGATGCTCCGGACAAGAGGAAACCAACCTATGGAATAAGAGAGTACACTCCAATAACAACTTACAAGATTTGCAACTGAACATTATAAACGGAGAGCAGCAAATGTGTCTTTGTCTTGGTGTCCGTCAGAAAACAAATCTACCATGCTTCAATCATGGTAAGTCACTGTAACTGAAGGAGCTGATGGGGTGCACATACTGTACAGCCTGTACTGTCACTGGAAAAAAAAAAAGAAAAAGAAAAAAAGAGTCTGACATGTGTTCTGATACTCGAACTCGACCAGTGCCGTCTCTGTTTTCTCACCCGGTTGCACCAGTTCAACAGGCCAGGCGTGTGCACAGTACTCATGTTCATGGGCAGCAACAGACGGACCTTCTCCATATACTAAGCACCTGGTGGCTGCTGGTGCCCAAACATCTGGACAGTCTTAAATTCAACCTAAACCCCTCCAGGGGCTCTATGAGCACAAAAAGAAGAGAGGTATAATATTCACGGCCCGACAAAGACAGTCACATTAGGCTGACTGAGAGGAAAATGCCAGTTAAAATGCCCGTCTCTCATCTCCTTTGTTCCTTCAGGCCTGGTCCAGCCTCTGTTACCTTTACAAAACATGTTAAACTTTAGGTTCAAGAACAGTGATCCACTCCTCCAGATTGGTCAGAAGAGATGCAAGGTGGGAATTGTTGAGGTTTCCGACAGGGCTGGTTCGCAATGTAAGCTTGGTGGTCGGCCGTTTCGGGTCTCTTAAGTATCAATCACAGGTCCGATGGAGTCCTGCTGGGGGCTCTCCAGAGGCGATGAGCTATCGGGTGCAGGTGGGTGAGGGGAGTGTGCCATACCTGCAGCTGAGTTACAGCTCACACAACCCTGGGGGGACACAGAAATGTGACAAACATGGTCATTATGTGAGCTCAAAGTCAATATCAAATTCATCTATCAAGCACATTTTAAGGCAACAGGAGTTAAATCAAATGGCTGTATAGTAAAAAAAAAAAAGAAAGAAAGAAAGAAAAAAAACTAAAAGACAAAATTGTAAAAATTATTCAAATAATAAGAATAACAAAGACACAGTAATAGACAAAATGTGTCTGACTCTTTTTGAATCAAATGTCAACAAAAAGAGACAGTTCTAAAGCAGCGATTTAAAAATTTCTAAAGTCTAAGCAGTTTCAATGCGGAAAGATAAACTATTCCAGAGATTTGGAGCAGCTCCTGCGACGGCTTGATCACCCGTATTTTTCAGCCTGGATCTTGGAACATCCAGGAGCATCTGGTTGCTTGACCTCAGTGCTCTAGCTAGGGTGTAAAGCTTCAAGAGTTCTGCTACGTAAGGTGGGCCGACCCATTTAAAACCTTAAAAATAAGCAATAACATCTAAAAATTGATCTTCAAGTGGACAGGAAGTCAGTGAAGGGAGGCCGGTGCAGGAGTTATGTGATCACTTCGTCTTTCTCCTGATGTGCAGCTGCACTTTAAACCAAGGACGACTGCTCTCCATCCACATGCAGGGAATAAAAGCATAAGCAAGAGGAAGTGCTTCGCCGTGAGTGTATATTTTATGATCCCTGTGATACCTGTGTGTCTATTTCCTGTGGGATGGTGTGCTGTTTAATCCAAGGATGGACCTCGGCCAGCTCTTCTCTCTGCTCCTGGCTGAACCAGGGCTGGAGAGGCTGAAGCACTCGAAGCTTCTCCCGGTCATCTGCCAACACCTCATTCTGGTCCCTATGAGAAAGGTTCGACAAGATAAGGAAACAAGGTAAGAGATGTGGCAACGGTGTAGAGATTTTAATATATTGGCCCAAATATAAGTCAGTATGGTATTACATTCAAATCAGCAGATGCTGCTTGTTAAACAAAAGTACCCTTTTCCCTTGAGTCAGCTACTACCACACAGACAGTATTATGTTACTTTTATTCAGCGGAAAGCTTTGGAAATCATCAAACTACTGAATCCACAAGTATATCCACAAAACAGAAACTCTTTGGCAAGATATTTTCATTTCTTTCCATTGCAAATCACCATGTAAATAAACCCTCAGGTCCTCCCAGTATACTTCTACTGACAAAATGGGAAAATAATGGTAAAACAGTTTGTACTGGTTGACATTATGTAGCATGTTGGACACATTTAAGCCCTTAATGACAAAGGACCCGTTTCCACACAGCTGTCAGAGGTTTTGAGGAGATGGAGTTTCCCTTTCGTTTATCATGAGTGGAATGGAAATGGGAAATGTGTGGATGGGTAACTACCTGGTGTGGATTTGGTATGTCATCATGACACGCTCAGGTGTGTGCTGGATCATGGTCCACAGGGAGTTCTCCACACGAGTGTCAAAGTTGTGTTGGTGCTCTGCCTGTGCCTCCTGGCTCTTACGAGCTTTGCGTGACGTGTCTGATGAGTCATTGCTGGCAAAGTACTTGCTGCTGTTACTGCTGCCTGTAATCCAGAGAGAGCTCTACATCAGTCACTTCATTTTATCCTGCTGTTAACTGTTGTCTCTAACTGCATGTTTAATTGTTGAGTAAGATATAGAGGCACTGTGTACTTGAGAAATTTGAAATATTATGCCGTAGCTATAAGGACAGAATGTATGACAAGATAATATTGCACAGAATATCAGGTATACATATGTTTCAGAAATACTGTCAAGAAAGAAGGCTGTTAGTGTGCACATTATTTGTGCTTCCTTTCTTACCGGTGTGTGAGGTGGAGGTTCCATTGGAGCCAGAGCCAGATCCTGATCCCAGTGAGCCTCCAGACTCCCCCGATCCAGACCCTGAGGCATTGGAGCCTGTCCCTGACCTGGCATCCTCCTGCAGCAGCAGGTCGAGCAGCTCACTGGATGTTGACTGGGCATCATGGTTGCCAGAGTCACTGGGGACACCCCCCTTGAAAAGACAAAAGTTTACAACTCAGAACTAAACCAACCGTTTATACTGAGAAAAACAACTGGAGATCTACATCAACAGATACTGGTTATGTATGAGACAAAAGGTAAAGGTTGATATACAACATCAGACTTACTTCATTTGCATGTTGTTCATGGAGGCTCTCAGCGTGATTGTGCCCGGTGCTGCTCTGTCCTTCATTGGGCTTGGGCAGTTCCTCTTGTAGCAGGTTGAGCTGCAGCGGAGAACTTGAACGAGAGCTGGAGAATAAAGCCCGAGGCCCAGCTGCTTCCTCCTCTTCCCCGACAGAAGAGCTAGCTCTTGGTGAGCAAAGCAGAAGGCCTGGGGAGATCTGAGTGTGGGGGCCTGGCTGGACTTGGAACTGAGGCTGAGGCTGAGAAAAGGGGGCACTGGCAGGCACAAAGCCTGTCAAGGTGATGGGTGCCTGGGGCAGTATAGAGGGAGCAGATGGTGGATAAATGGACGGGTAACCTGGAGTGAAAGTTGGATAGTTGGGCAGGATAACAGCCATGACTGGAGTCATGTAAGGGTTGAAGTTTTGGGCTGAAGTCATTGGCTGCAGGTTAGGAAAGTTTTGCAGATTCTGAATGGGCTCCTTCTGCATTGGTTGTATGCCTGGCAAGCTCTGGGCAGGCTGCATAATGCTAAAGTTGTAGCTGAGCTGGTCAGTGGGCTGCAGCATCACAGGAGTTGGTCCAGGCACCTGTTGGGGTCTGGGTTGTTGTTCCTGGCCAGGCTTCCCCATGACAGGAAAGAATGGCACCTGGAGTGGGGATGTTTGGCTGAAGTTTGGCCCCAACTGGGGCTGGGAGGACTCCGAGGAGGGCCAGGAGGAGTCAGGGACACGGCGAGGGGGGCCAGGTGGGGAGGCATAGCTGTCTGAGGACCCCTGGGGTTTGGGTCGCTTGTGTCTGGGCTTTCCTCTTCGAGAGCGATTCCAACCTGTAGCGCTCAACTGACGTTGGTAATCTCCTGTGGTGAGAACAAACAGTTTAATTCAAGGTACTTAAGTGTCCCTTCAAGGGCTGTATTCAGCATTCACTAAAACTGTTTCTTTCCAAACAAATGGGCTCATACCTGGGTGGTGGGAGTGAGCCATAGAGCTGTTGTCCAGCTGCAGATATGAACTGTAGGGGCTCTGAAGGATGCGATTACGGAATCGATCCACATACTCTTGCTCCTCCTTCTGGGTATGAGCTGAGAGTACCTCCTTGGTGAGACCTATAAACCTTCGTTCCTCTGTGGCGGGGCTTGGGGCCGGACGGACCGGGGTTGGAGCTGCATCAGTAGGCTCAC